TCCCCAGCCTGGGCTGCTTCGCCAAGAGCTGGATCGCCCTTGGACTGCTTCATGCCATAGCCCTCGCCGGTGCTGAAGTTCTGTACTGAAAGAAAGAGTCGACATCCACATGCTGGGGAGGGAGAGGACAACCCCTTCCTTCCATGTGCGTGCGCACCTCAGCCCGGGTCTTGAGGGCATTGATGACGGCTGCCCTCTCCGAGAAGGTGAGCAGATGCTGTGCTCGCCGCCTGCATGAAGCTTCCCACTCCCCCTTGAGGGCCGGGGTCAACTCCCCGGACAGCCTCATGGCACGAAAGCCCATCAGCGCCCCGCCAGGACCTCCACATGCCGCAGAACCTCAGCAAGATGGTCCGGCTGCACGGCCAGCGGGGCCGGGGCTCGCCGCCCCTTTCTCCACCGGCGGTCCCTCCGCCACTGCTACAGCCGCCGGCATCAGCCGCTCGTATGCCTGGCCGGCCACTTCCAGCCATGCTTCGGCCAGCGCTGTGCCCCCCTCGGCATAGGCGTCCTCCTCAGACAGGAACATGAAGGCGAAGTCATCATCCCGCTCCAAACCACGCGCATTCCTCCATGCGCGCACGTGCAAAATGGGGGGCAGCCCCGGAACCTCGAAACCGTCCCCCGGACGAAAATGCACCACCATCCCCACCGACTGCCACAGCCGAAGAGCGGCGACCCGGTCCCCCCGGGCCTGCACCAGAATGATGTGCTGCTTGAAGTCCCGGCCGCTGTAGACAGCATCCGGCACTCCGTGTGCACCGCCACATCAATGCCAGGACGCAACAGGGGCATGTTGAACTTAGTTAACTCAAAATTGCCAGTTTTGGCTCAAGGCCACTTGAGTCCCAAAATGGCAAGACATCAAGGAATGATCAATGCATACCCAAGCCTACCAAACTCAATGCATTCATAGCAACACATGTTACGTGAGTTTGGTTCCCTCACGTTTCCTCGTTTCACACTTGCTTCCAACCTTCTTAGCTTGGATGCAAACCAGCCTGAACTGGATTGGCCTTCTGTTCTAAAGTGCCTTTAGCCACTATGCAAGAAATGCCCTTCAGCACTGCGCACACGCCAGCCACGTGGCTAGCACGCACAATCACGCGCGCCCGTACAGCAACGCGCGCCGCATTCAGAAAACTGGCACAGGACTGCAGCGCCTCCGTTTAACTGAGCCCGCCCAGCACTGCGCACACGCCAGCCACGTGGCTGGCACGCACAATCACGCAGCAACGCGCGCCGCATTCAGAAAACTGGCACAGGACTGCAGCGCCAGAATGATTTCGATCGATTTCTTGCAAATCTGAAGTCGTGAAAACAAACCGCCTGTACGACGGGGCCAACGACAATAACACTCGAGCAAACAGTTGCACGCGCATTCCAAGCAAAACACCTCAAAACAACAACCCCTGAAGCGCAAATCGCACTGCCGCAACAGCGACGCTGTCTACCCGCACAAAACACTGCGCCTGCGCTGCAAAACAACATCTGACATGCTACGAGCTACAATTCCCGCACAGGGGCACGAAAAATGACACGCTTCAAGTCATCCAAATAGCACGTTTTTCGCCTTCCCCATTGGCACGGCAACCGCGACACTCGCGAACACCCATGCACGCGTACATGCGTGCAGGCGAACATGCATATAGGCATGAACGCGTACAGGCGTACACGCGTACCAAATCCCCTACCAAACCCAAAGCCCCACCATTTTGGCAGCTCCTGAAAACAAACAAACCACCAGGCCCCGTAAGATTACAACAGACTTCTTCACGGTACGACCACATCCAACCAACCAACCAACCAAACAAACAAAGAACAAAACGAACAACTAAACAAACACTGCAAAGAACTAAGCGCGCAATTTAGGATTTCTGAAGCCCGGAAAATTCTGGATGTGTGGGACCCGGAAAATTTGGGATTGATGGAACCCGGAAAATTTGAGATTTCTGGGACCCGGAAATTTTGGACTTTCTGGGGCCAGGAAAATTCTGGATGTATGGGACCCGGTAAATTTGGGATTGATGGGACCCGGAAGATTTGGGATTTATGGGAACCGAAAATTTTGGACTTTCTGGGGCCCGGAAAATTCTGGATGTATGGGACCCGGAAATTTGGGAATGATGGGACCCAAAAGATCTGGGCCTGCTTCAAAGTGCGCCGGACCTCTTGCCTCTCCAGGTGGCACCTGCGTTAGCTCTTGCATCGGCAGGAGTCCCCTGTGGGGGCATCCCTCAACTCCCCTAAGGGGAAGCGAGTGCCGATGCAGAGAGAGCAACGTCAGGAGCCACTTAGAGAGGCAAGAGCTCCGACACACTTTGAAGCAGGCTTTGATCCAAGTTGAAGCAGGCTTTGATCCAGCGGACCAATTCCTGCGCTCTGAAACACTTGTCAGCTAGCAATCTACTAGTGTCTGAGGGAAGAAACAAAAGTCAATTCATCTCACCACCAACAAAGCATCAAGCAAAGAATAGCCATGCAGCCAAACAGAGCCCGGGCATCCACCCAAAAGGTGCCAGCTGGCAATCTACTGGTGTCTGAGGGAAGAAACAAAAATCAATTACGCTAACCACCAACAAAGCATCAAGCAAAGCATAGCCATGCAGCCAAACAGAGCCCGGGCATCCACCCAAAAGGTGCGAATGATCTGGGGGCCTGCTTCAAAGTGTGCCGGAGCTCTTGCCTCTCCAGGTGGCACCTGCGTTAGCTCTTGCATCGGCAGGAGTCCCCTGTGGGGGCATCCCTCAACTCCCCTAAGGGGAAGCGAGTGCCGATGCAGAGAGAGCAACGTCAGGAGACACTGAAAGGGGCAAGAACTCCGGCACACTCTGAAACAGCCTTTGATCCAGCGGACCTATTCCTGCGCTCTGAAACACTTGTCAGCTAGCAATCTACTTGTGTCTGAGGGAAGAAACAAAAGTCGATTGCGCTGGCCACCAACAAAGCATCAAGCAAAGCATAGCCATACAGCCAAACAGAGCCCGGGCATCCACCCAAAGGGTGCGAAAGATCTGGGGGCGCTAACCACCAACAAAGCATCAAGCAAAGCATAGCCATGCAGCCAAACAGAGCCCGGGCATCCACCCAAAAGGTGCAAAAGATCTGGGGGCCTGCTTCAAAGTGTGCCGGACCTCTTGCCTCTCCAGGTGGCACCTGCGTTAGCTCTTGCATCGGCAGGAGTCCCCTGTGGGGGCATCCCTCAACTCCCCTAAGGGGAAGCGAGTGCCGATGCAGAGAGAGCAACGTCAGGAGCCACTTAGAGAGGCAAGAACTCCGACACACTTTGAAGCAGGCTTTGATCCAGCGGACCTATTCCTGCGCTCTGAAACACTTGTCAGCTAGCAATCTACTGGTGTCTGAGGGAAGAAACAAAAGTCAATTGCGCTGGCCACCAACAAAGCATCAAGCAAAGCATAGCCATGCAGCCGAACAGAAAAGTGTCAAAACATAACGCGGGTCGGCGGCACTGGGCGGCAGCCCTTAAATAAGAGAGCTTGATCAGTCCAGGGTCCGCGAAAAGGAAAACAAGTCACACTACTTCCAGAAGGAATCATCTTGCAGAGGAATCGCCTTTTGAAGCTTTTGACGTCCCCCTCCCTACCCAGGATTCCCTGATTTAAATTTGGCGCAAGGACAGCTCCGCCTTTCAAAGGGAACAGAGTCGAGCCCAGGGGCGACTTTCCTCAGGGTGTACCACCATTGTAAACGGTATACACCCCCGTCTTGCCCTGGGGTAATGAACATCTGGGGAATTAACATCTACATCATTCTTAGGTCTTAGCAATATGCATGTCTATATATCAACTATATACATTGCACACAAGTCCTGCATCTGATCACCTCAGATGCCGCTTGAAGGCGGCGATTTGGAGTCTGGGCCCCCGGCACACCTCCGCGGCGGCGGCCATGCCCCCGCTCAGCACCAGGCGCTCGGCGCGGCCCGGCACCGCCAGCAGCGAGGGCGAGGTGCGGGGCTTCCAAGGCGACGCCTGGGCCGCGAGGGGAATAATTCGAACGACTTCAGCACTAGCTTAAGGGCGTGTGATCAAAACCTAAAAGTACCTCCTTTTAGAGGCCAGGGTTGACACCAGGCCCTACAAAGGCAGATCAACCTCTCTTGGCTTGAAAGGCTTTCAGCCCTCACAAGAGCCTCAGACAAAATGACGAAATGACTTGGAACTTGAGGTTTTGTCCTTATATCCGCCCCCAACAGCGGACTAGCAAGAATATTGCCAGTTGCTGATCTGGATCTCTCTCCAACACACTTGGCTTCCTCTTCCTTTTGGTTATGTTCTTCACTTGATGGTCATTCATTTTGTCTTCTCTTCATTCTAGTTTGCGGATTTAACACACATCGTGTTATCGCAGTATGAAATACATAGTTCACTTTATTATGTGCCTTTCCTTGTTTAATAACTTCTTACATTTATTTCTATCTATTGTTTTTTTGTAATTATTCTGTTTTGGGGTTGTAATGATGAGACCTTGCTCCCTCTCCAGTCTCAAATGTGTAACCTTTCTACTTGACGATCTTGTCCTTAGCTTTCCACTTCTATATCTTTATAAGTCTTGGTCAGCATCTTGGAATCAATTATGCTTCTGTACGGCTTTTCTACCATTCCCCAATTCTTGGTATTCCTCTCGTCCCTTTCCTCTCACTCACTGTTCGGCTTTGTGTAAGAAAACAGATATTGTTTGCAAGCATTGGCTTTCTCCATTCCCTATCCGCCTTTATCTCGTCACCTTGCATCTTCTTTACGATTTGACATTATGCTGAAGGTGGCTGGAGGAAACAAACGTACAAGAATATCATGGCTCCTTGTCTGACCAGACTCTCCGGAGCCAGGATCATATTAGTTTGTCACGTAACCAGCCTGATACATTCTGTTTGTCAGGCGTGCTTGAGGGTGTCTTGAAGTCTTGTTTGTGGTTGAAGGAAGACATTGAGCCATTGAGGGAAACCACTCAGTGGGTCCCCTTTTTACACGTAGACCCGCCTGCGACATGCAGCGCCAGCTGAGGCCGCCATCTTGAGACGCCCAAACATCGTTCAGGCGGTAGCCCACGGCATCCTCACCGCCTCGCGCAGTTTGCTAAAGTTGGGTGTGTCTATTCTGGTTTGGAGACTCCAATTTTTGTTGGCTCAAGGAAAGCCAAAAAGAACCAACCATTTTGGGGATCCTTACTTTTGAGAGACATCCTGGTTGATACAAAACATACTACCATGGTTCATCTGCCAAAGCGGTTTGCCCGCCTGCCACGTACAGCAAGTAGCCGCGGCGAGCTGATGCCTTACCGGTTCTGCCAGGTGCTGAAATGGAGTGTTTGTCAAAAGGAAAGCTTTTCAAACCATCCTATCCGCTTCCATGATTCAACGGGCAACTGCATGAATCTTCAAACATATCACGCGGTGTCCTTCGAAAGTCAACCAATTTGGCCAAGTCGTTCAGGCCCGTTCTAGCCCCTTCAAATCTCGAAATGCTTCCATCCCGCATCCTTATATTCATTTTCCCCAAGCGTTGCGTTGCAATGCTAAACCCCTTAGCTGGCCATGGAGCCATGGCCATCCTTGGGAAGTTGTGTGGAACTGAAGCCGGAAAAGCCTTCCGTGACGGGCCACACATGCCGCCGCAAAGTTGCAGCGAGGCTTCCACTTGCGGTGCCAGCGCCGGCCACGGTCATCGCTTTGACCTGTCGCACTCGTGCTGGACAAGACCCTTTGAGGTGTAAACTCAACATAACCTTTAATCGCTTTAATTAGGTGTAGGCCCTGGGTTTGGGGACACCCGGGTGTCCGAGCCCCAGACTGGTGCGCCCAGATTTGCCCACAGTCGCACTGTCGCACGCCTTCGTCGTGCGCGGAGATCAGCTTCCACTCACACGCGCGCCTGCAAAATGTGCAGCCCTTTGTCCGAGGATGTCTGCTTAGCCCTGCTTTGCCGGCAAAGGCTACACAACTGCCAGCAGAAAACCAGCGATGCATGCGATGCTCTGGCGAGCAGCGCTAAAGCAGGGGAAGGAGTTGAACTTCGTGGATTCCCCGAACATCAATGGGACAAGAAGCATACTTACACTTCACTTAGGTTTAGCAGTGAACTGCAAGTGACCTGAAGTCCATGCCAGGATGCCAGGCGTGTTTGGCCAGCGTCAGGCGCCAAATGTCATTGCAACGCCAGCCGCCTGGAGGCGGAAACCTACCCGAGTCCGACAATAAAGTGCCGTTGAAAGGAACCACAAAAGGTTCGAACGGCAAAGAGAAGGCAGACCGAAAAGCGAGAAAGACATACTCCTGTTGGGTTTGAGGAAGCCGAACTGCTCTTGGAAATGATGTGGACTCAAAGGCAGTCCCAGCAACTCGTAAAATCAAAGACCCAAACTCGATTGATTACCTCAACATCCTCTGATACCAAAGAGTCAAGGCCCCTGTTTCAATTGACTCAACCTGAGCCATGAAAGAGCCAATCAGTCGGGCTTCGCCGGTTGAACCCTTCGTTGGCTTGCGCCTGCCAATTTCTCGCCGCCCAGGAAGAGCAACACCCCACCGGTGGCGCTGCCTGCGAATCCGTCGGGAATTGGACCGGAGGGGTGGGAAATGTCAGGGATGATCCATACACAAACGTCTGCGACGCGTGGGTGTTTCCTACGGGGAAACCTAAACATGGCAGAGCTCATGGAAAACTGTCCAATCAGATTTTAAGCTGTTCCATATTCAACAAAACTCATAGTCATGTGAACCACAGTCAACAATTTGCAGTTGCCCTGGATGTAGGAGAAGAGTCCACCCCTGTTTTGCGGGGAGTTTAGAGAGTCCTCATATTCACTAAACAACTGGAAGTCTTGAGCCCGAGCTACGGTCAAAATTACTATACCTTAGAGGGCGTGGGAAAATTGGTGCCTCCTGGTTGTTGCGGGAAAGGTGGTGAGCCTTCCATGTCCTCCCCCAATGGACCATCGACTGGACATCTTGACCAAACCTCACACCCGAAGCAAAACGTCGGTCTGGGCTCGCCGCTTGCGGGCAGTACCAGCGAGCAGAAGTGGCGCCGTGGGAAGAAGGCTCCAGACTCCAGCGGAGCCTTTGGATTCAACAACAGGGCCAGGACCTCTGGAGGTTCCCCTAGAAAACTAACTCGGAATCCGGAAATCTGCATTCAAGTAGGGGACGCTCCAAGGAGCCCACTTCAAAGGGCTCCATGTTGAAGGGACCCCACAAAATCGGGCTCCTTTGGGATGGGACCCAAAGGACCCTTGTGACGGAATTCTCGGAATTTTGATCGACACCCACCCTTAGTGGTCTGTGATGTTTCTAGGAATCGGACCCTCCAAAAGGATGGTTTCCCTGGAAGTGTTCCCTTAAAGCCAGCGGATGGAGTAGGTGTGACCGCTGGTCTTTCGACTAAACCGTTTCTCCAGGTAGCCGCCAACTCAGCGCAGCCGCCCCAGAGAAGATCACCCATGCAGGCGCCTCCAAAGTTGTCTCGGCTCGCGAAACAAAGCCGTTGGTATACATCAGAGTTGCATGCTTGGATTTATCCCTGAGCATGTTTGAGGGTGGTTCAACCATTCAATTCGATAGCCACATGGACAGCTTCAACAAATCAACACGATGCAAGGAATCAAGCATGTTGCAAGATTTCAACTGATGCGTACCCACTCGGGACCCTTTTGGAAAAAAAGGATGGTGTTTATAGCAAACCGTACCTCGTTCTAACATGTTCCAACCATATTTGATTTGACACCTCAAGTTATCAGCATCTGTCATGTGGCATGTCATCCATGATCCCTCTCGCCGCTTCTTTTCTCTCACTGGAGCGGCCAAAGCGAGTCCAGGAACTGGCTGAACTTCCTTGCTTGACCTCCCAGCAGCTTCTTGTCCTTCCAGTTCACTTCTGCCTGGGCTGAACAATGCTTCCAAAAGACGGTCGCAGCCCTTTTGCAATGTTGGAATGGCTGCAGATGTTATCTCTTTTCTTCTTTTTTTGGGGGGGACAGGGAAGAGGGGGGCGGCAATTTTTGGAGTCCCACCTGGGCGTGCTGTGGGAATGGCTATACTTCCCCACTGCGACTTAGTCGCCATGGAACGACCTCGACTTGCGTGCCTGACAAGCTCGACTGGCTACAGGGACTCCCTCAAATGCTTGGTAACTTGTCTCTCGCTTTGGATAGAAACTTCCCGTCGTCCTTTGCGAAAAGTCGGCGCTTTGCCCGTTGCGTACAAGGTGGATGTTTTCCCATGCCCGGGATGGTGCCTCCGCATAAACGAAGCTGGCAACATCCTCCACGTTCCTCGCCTGGGAATCGGAATTTGGTGCTGTGCGTGCTTCCTTCCCTGTTGTTCAAGCCGTCCGAAAAAGACGTTAACTCCTGATTTAGTTGGCCCAATCATGTCTATGCGACCAATTTCAGGCATTCCGAAGAAGTGTGTCAACTCAAATTGGGACGGAACCCCCATGTAGATCCATGTTCGTTGGCACAGCCAGCTGTATTGGTCAGTGTTGCGGCGTTTCCGACTTCTGTGGAGTGCAGGGACCGATTCCCCAAAGGTATCACGTTGGTTGAACAACCCAGCCTCACTCAGAACAAAATGATAAAACAAGTCCCAGAACCAAGCAAACCTTGGACAATGCAAGAACTCAGAGATCTCTCAAATCGTAGGTCTGGTTGTTGACACCACCAAGTGGAAAAGGAACACCGAAGCCATCTTTAAACCGTTGGCCCATTTCCCTTGGCTGCCGGGGCACTCCCAGCTTCGCGAAGCTGGGCATGGGCGCCTGGCCGTTGGTCACTTGCTGCTGGATGGCCTCAACCGAGAACTTCCCATTCCTCGGACTCGCTTGCCTTCGAGACAACGGCTGCCTATACCATGTCCTTACAGACCTCGTGGTAGCTCTGGCAGCTCCCTGTTTAGAAACAAACTTGGATACCCCTTCCAACCAACAGTTAGATCACTCCTGGGTTTTGAAAGGACCCCAAAGGAAACCACAAATTGTGAGACCGTTGGCAAATTCACCCATGGCTGAGCTAAGGGACCGCTCCAGGGCACTTCGGCCCAGGCTTTGCTGCGGATAGATCTTATTGCCGCCGCCCGCATGGCAGGACACACAGTGCCTCAGATTCGCACCACTTCGAAAAGCTGATCTGGCGGAAGGAATCGGACATGTCATGTCAGCTTTCTTTTTTTGCTCGCTTGAGTTTCCGGAACACCTGGATCCAGCGGCAATGGGCTTTAACCATGGTTCTCTATAAAAGCCCCATGGTCTGAATGCGTATCAAGGGCTCCACGGTCCACCGCCAATGCCCATGTGCCCCCAAACCAAGAACGTCGTCGACTATTCCACTGTGTTCCAGAAGTTCTTTCAAGGTTCCCGTTTCAACAGCTTTGCCCAAAAAGAGAGACCCCGGGGAATCATGTGGATGCTTGATGAGCAGTACCCCCTTTTGTTCAGCTTTCGCTGAAAGGGAACTCCATTCTCCGGGTCGGAACTCCTCTCGTCCCCGGATTTCTCGCGGCCTGGGCATCCCGGCGCATCAAAGATCGCTTCGCCGTTCACCAAGTCAGCCGCCCGGCAGGGGCCCGCAGCCAGCACTCCTGTCTTCGCAAGCTATGACTTCAAATTCTGGACGGTGGAAAATCAGAAATAATTAATACACATAGTATATGCAAATATGTATATTGTTCTTATTATACTCCATAACTACTCCAAATACCCGAGCGGTTTTGGGTATTGCTTGGAAAACCTGGCTTGCCAGGGTTAATACCACTTTTTTTTGCACAGGGTAGCCATGATACCCCATGATACCCCTAACCCAGTGGGTGTTCGGTGTTTGGAGTAGGAGGCATATGGCTGGTTGTCAAAATGTTGGCTCCCAGTTTTGTAGCGTAAATCGTCATTCCATGGGGGCCCGTATCATTCGGGCCATATGAACACGTAACCATTGTGGCACAGAACGTTTGACCAAGAAACGTGCAAATCACTGACAGGCGCACTAGCGCGGGCCTTTTCTTAAAGCTGCTGCAAAAGGATATTTAAACACATAATAAATCCCAACGTTCTACACCACATCTTCAGCAAGCAGCAAAATGGAAATGCGTATATAGCTTTACTTGGCCTGACTACCAACTACAGCCAAGAAACATGGGTGGGGTCCCGCTTCATGTCGAAAAGGAAAAAACAAGATGCAACAGGAATTATGAACATACTGTATATAGCTGCTTAGCCGGCCTTTTTGAACGGAAGCCATATGAATCTATGTCCCACGATTTTGAGCGTGTTCCCCCATTAAGATATTCATTGCCAAATAGGGGGCGGCTTCCTTTTGGGCTTCCTTTAAAACATCGCAAAAAGTGATATTTGTCCACATGGCCATGGGTCAAAATCCAAATCGTACCCCCAGTGAACATCCCAATCCCCACTAAAATAGACTACAATAGGTGCGGCACCAAATTGGCACCATTGGTTTTGACCGCACTGACGCGACTGGTTGAAGCGGCTCCTCCGATCAGCGCGCCGACAGCGAGAGGACCCCAAATGCCGCTCGCTGGCTCCTGAGCAAGAAAACCTCCGAACGCGGACCTCAAACACAACTCGAGTGAAATTTGGACACCGATTCAGCTTCCACACCAATTGGTGGTTTGGGGTTTGGTTAGGGGTGTGTTCCGAATTACCCTCACGAACCCAGTGTTCAAATCCAAATCCAAACCACCAATTTCAAGCATCCTTTCAGTCTACCCACGCTCTTCGGATTTCAAGCATCCTTTCAGTCTACACGCTCCTCGGATGCAGCCTCTCGAAGAGGCGCTGGCCTGTCTCTCTCCGCGCAAGGCTTTGGACAAGGGCCGCCCAACCTGAAACAAAAGGCAAAAACAAACTGAAGGTCACAAGGTGCCCTCAAGAAACACACAAACAAACAACAAAACACACAGACACAGACACAGACACAGACACAGACACAGACACAGACACAGACACAGACAGAGACAGAGACAGAGACAGAGACAGAGACAGAGACAGAAACAGACTCAGACGCACACACGCCCGCCCGCCCGCACGCACGCCCGCGCACGCGCGCACGCCCGCACGCCCGCGCACATGCTCCTTGCAGCTGGGCTTCGTAGCGGAGTTCCCTCTGACCCACGCAATAGCGGCCACTGGCACAAAGGCCCACATCGCCATGGGATGCCTGCCTAATGTTGTAATATTCGTATGGTTGTTTCTCAAGGTCCCCTTGCACAGAACAAGGAGACCAAGCTGAAGGGTCCCGAATTTGAAGAAACACCCCAAAGCTTCTCGTTCTTTGCGCAGAGTGCAAGGATGTGCATCAATGTGGCGTTGGCTATTTCCAGCTGACGTGGCTGCGGGGTTTCCATTGGGCCCAGAGTCCAATCGCAAGCGTCACCACCACTCGCTCTCTCTCTCTTTCTCTCTCACGCTGATGCAGGTTGCAGGCCACGCCTCCTTCCATAGCGCCTAGCTTCCTTTACTGTGCCCAGTGGACGCAACCCAGGGATGCACCCCCTGAGGTGTATTCCGGGTCAAACTCAGCAAGACTTAGTCAACCCAAATGTCTGGTAAGAGTCTTTCATCCCGGATTTCAGGAAGTGGCTCAAATGTGTCCCTGTCAGCCAAGAAGGCTCTTGAATCCGTTTTGGGCTCTGAGCCTGGAGTCGGCGAATGCCAGCGCTGACGATTCAGGCCTCTCCTGCGAATCTTTGTGGTTCCGAAGGAAGCCCAGTGCTTTGAGTCCAGAGGTTGATGAACACTCTGCTAACCCAAAGGGTGCCTTGACCATGGCGCAGAAGGTCCGGTTCTAGCAGCACGGAAATGGATGGTTTACGTAGGCCTGGCTACAGCCCCCATGAAACCAAATAGGAACCGAACCACCTGCTGGACGTATCGAGGTTTTGATCGCTGCTCAGGTGAATTGCAGCGACAAACAAACGGCCTCCCAAAGAGCGAGGCCGCCATCCATCACAGTGTCCAGCACCTGCCTGGCATGGAGACGAAATGCTAATTCCGAATTAATCCAGAGCCTACTCATCAGGGCTAATCCCCTTGTGGTTCCTCCTTGTGAAAATCCGAAGTTCATGTTGGCGTGTTCAAAAGGGACTCCCCTTGCAAGGCTTGGGTGGAAATCATAATATTGACCCACAAAGGGCTTCCAATTTTGATGGACTGTAGTGCAAAAGTGTTGTGTCAGTGTCTAAACCCCGCGCACCTTACCCGGAAGCAGACACCAGCACGATCGATCGGCTATGGCAAACCAAGGCGCCCGTCCTTTTCTGCTTTGAACAAAACTACCCACCGAAACGGACTCGCCCTTTTCACAGGTATTCATCTGAAATGCTTCACTCAATTTGTCAAGGTCTCTGGAGTGAAACAGGCCACGATCTGCCAATGGTATGCCCTGTAGGTTTCAGCCTGAGAAAGCAAGAAACTCAATGCAACTCCGAGCTGCAGCACTCAGGCAGTGGCCATGTTTTGCACTTGCTTCTTAAAATGAGTCCGGTCAGTATGTTGACCTGCACAGTTCCAGGCGAGCAACTTTGACTCAGCGAACTGGCAAAGCTTGAAGCCCCCTGCCTTCCAAGTGCTCGCGGATCAATTTGTCAAACCTTGGGGAGGGCAAGCTGAGCATCTGGATCAGTGTGCCAATATGTCACAGTTGAGCAATCTCCCATCATCGCTTCACGCGTTTGCAGCCTTTTGTGATCACGGACATCCGCTGCTCCAGCCATGCCGGAATCAGAAAACTTGTTTCCATCGCCTCGCGAGTTCCTCCTGCCATTGGCCATGCTACCATGAGAAGTAAAGCGCTTCGGGGGAACTCGCAAGGCAGGAAGAAAGATTGTCGAGTCACAAGTCCAGCGCAATCTGATACGGGGAGACTCTCATTGTGATCTGCAGGCAGTCCCGCCAAAGCATTCTGATTACAGCAGTTGGGTACTTCAGTTCAATGCGCTAGGAAAGGCTTGTTTGACGAGGCGTCCGTTCCTTCAGTGCAATGCGGACAGCTTGGCCATTCGGCCGGGCCGATTCGTGCGCCAAGTCCATGAGATTTTCATGCCGGCACGCGGCTGGAAGAGTCAAGCGGGTTTCTAGCCAGTTAAATGAGATCAATGAGGTATCCCAGCAAATTCCGACCAGTGGATGCAAGAAGAAGAACATTCAAGTTCCGACACAACCAGAGAACCACAGGAATCTCCGAGTCTTTCGGCCATTTCAGCCAACACCACCTGCTTGCTCCATTCTTTGGCCCTGACTCTGCCACTTACGGCGCAGGCGCTTCAGGCGACTGCCCTAGGGCCTCCTCCTTCTGTTGGGCTTCGATGGCCTGCCGGATCTCCTCGCAATCGCTGTGCAAAACGACCAGCTCTTGCCAAACGAAGTAACGGTTCAATCACTCCCCCTTCGCAAGTACAATTCCAGCGAACCCGGAGAACCAAAACGCACGTGTCCAAGGAACCAACGCCCAAACCCCAAGGACACGGCTTGCCGTTTGTTTTCTTCGGCTGAGGCCCCCGGCACTAACCATATCTGGATTGAGAGCTCGGAAGTCAAAGCCGGAATCCTCCTGCGTCTCGACGAAAATGGACGAGGGGATCAAGAAGATATTCACAAATTTTCAGATGTTCAAAGTTGAAACATCTTTGGACTATGTCAGTCGACGAAATGCGGCAAGAACGGAACGATGTTGAAATCCTTTACGTATGGGTAAGTGTCAAAATAGGGACCCAAACAAATAGGCCCTTTCCTTTTGGTTTCCCTTTCAACCAAGGCGAAATGGGTACCCTCCAAAAAACACTCGCCCAAAAACAATATCCGAACTGTACGTGAAATCTCGCGGATCACTCATGCTCTCTGAAAGCTTTCCGGCCTCGCCGCTACTCAGCATCGCCTTCTCATTCACGGCCGAGTAATAGAAGGCATTCTCTGCCTCCTTGGTGAAGAAGCAGTAGTACCCGAGGTACGCCACCTGCGGCGTAGCGCGCGGAAAACCAATGCTGGGCAAGCTGCCTCAACAGTAAAACAGAGGCGCCAAAGTGCCGCAAAACCAAAAGGTGAGCAAGTCTCAAGAAACGATGGGCCGACATGCTCTCATGGCGGCTACATGCGGCTAAGGCGAAAGGCGAGGCGCCAGGATGGTGACGAAGGGCAAGATGAAGGGCCCAGAAATGAAGTCGCCAACTTGCCTGAAAGCTCCAGGCTCCTTGGTTTCCAGTCACCATGTGCAAGCTCCTCCTCCTCCCCACAAACTGCTAAAGGGGCATCAATGGAACTGCAACAACACAATCGTTGAGTGGCCCACGAAAAGTATCTGCCAGTCCCCGAGCAACAAACCAGAGAGCAGTCACAGCCAACGCAAGGCAAGGCTCCGTCTCTTCAGTGGGAATGCCACTCTTCTTCACCCTTGGCTGCCAAGATTTTAGGCCGCGAATTCTGCCTTGCAATGTGATGCTAGGGGCGGTTTTGGATAGACGTCTATCGCAAAAGGATCCGTTGATATCGGCTAATACCAAAGCACCTGCGGAAATCGGAAATTCGCAGCTTGCTCCCAAGCGTCTGATCCATGTCGATTCCGAACTCATCCTTGGTTGAGAACACTCCCTTGCCTAACTCGAAGCTGTGCGTGCCAAGGATGTCAAGGTTGAACTGTCCAATGTAGAAGCTGCCGTGCGAGCATGGCTCTCACCAAGCAACAATGCAGGACAGCAGGAACAGCAAGCCCAGTGCCCCGTTGCTGCCAAGGTTCTGAGTCCAACGACATGAAAATGCTGCGGGTCTTGATGGCTTCCTGTGGCAACCCTCCGGGACCCGGAAACCCGATGCGCTCGATGCGCTCGAGGGAGTCCCCACCTCCGACGGCCCATCAGCTTTTGCAGGCGTGGCCGCCGCCGATTCAGCGCGGAGTGCTGTGCGGGAGCCTGTCATTCAGCTCACGAAAACATCATTGTTCTATATTGTTCTCGTCTGAAAAATTCTCTCAAAGCTCCGGCCTCTGCTGAGCGCAAAGCAAGGCGCCAGCATGAGTAGTGCCGCTGCAAGCACTGCGCCCGTGCCCCTGCGGCCTCAGAGTCCGTGTTCTTAGCCAGCAACCCGTAGCGCTGTTTCAGTTCCCCGAGTGATCGAGAGCAAGAGATACTCATTTGGAGGAGTCTCATAAATACCTGATGCAAACACAAACTGGCCAAAAACGCAAGGGCGTCAATGCATTCATCCAAATGCCAGAGTGATTTGAAAACCCGACTTGCCGTGGGATTGGCTGAGACCATGCCCAAGCTGGGTAGGTCACTTGCGCCCATCTGAAATTGCAGGAGAGGATCCGATTGCTGATCTTCTTGGTGCCATGGCTGCAAACGCCTGCAATTCAGCTGAGTTTCAACGTGAGCAAGCGCGGAGTTGCAACTCCGCGCAGAAGTCAGGTTCTCCAAACTGACATGTAGTTTGATCCACTGTAATCTGCCGAAAATCGCTTTTGCAACCCCCCTTTCGCGTTCTTGGCAAGTTGGGGGTCTGGGCCCAATCCCTGGATCGATCGAGCTCGATAGCGACGGTCTCCAGAGGCCTACGACCGACGGGGACTGATTCTTTGAGCCAAAGGGTCACGATTCTCCCGTGACAGAAACAGCTCAAGACTTATATTCTTTTCAACACAAGCTGACAGGGTGACGATCCTGAAAGGCCTGTCCATGAGTGAGAGCACCCAAGGAAGCAATGAACGAGCTACAGTGCCGAGGTGCGGGGATCGTGGTGCATATTCTCATGAATGACTTGCACAGACATTAGCTGCTCATGCATTCCGGTGACTAAGGCGCAAACTCGCTGTCTCCATTCCAGGAAGCTTTCACATTCGCATTTGCCTGAACGGGCGCTGTGCTCACAGTCGCTGTTGCAGCTTGCCAAGGAGAGCGAGATCGATAGACGCGATGCTCAGGTCTACTCAGCGCAAAGCGAAGCTCTGGCTTGGTTGAGACGACCTGTGTGTGACAGCAACGTTTTCACGTGCCATGGCGAACAGAATTGGGGCGACCGCATCGGTAGTGGAAGCTTCGGCATTTCCCGGGCTGCCTCAAGCCAAACAAAGCACTTCAACACTGCCGATGCTTGCTGGCCTCATAGGATGGAGGCGGACGAGCAATGGTTGCCTAGCCAGTGCTGTCAAAACTGCTTGTTTCGTGTCTCCCTTACAAGTCCTTGGCTTCAGCGCACGCCATGTCGCGTGCCTCATCCACCTGCTGCATTGCCTGCACGCGCGACTGCTCCGTCGGGGGCTCTGCATATGCAGACGTCCTCGACCTCGGAAGGTCGAATCCAACTCGCGTCTCTCACCCCCACTCCAGGCTTCCCGCAAAGAAGGCAACGAGTCGCCGGCCTGCACGATTCTTGAGGTCGTTTGCATCGCTTCGCGCCCGTTTCAGGTCCCCCAGTGTTGAGCGCCATCTTTTTCGAGGACACGAGAATCATCTTTTCGGGGCTGTTCCTGAAACCCCCAACCGAAGCCCTGCGTCGCGCCTTCTCAGGCCCCCGTTGGCCCAGATACCTTCGCGCGCAGAGCCCCTTCGTTTCCCAACCGGGAAAGGGCGTCGCGCGCTGCTTGCGTAGGAGCTGTGCCAAATGGCTACGGTGTTAGCAGTGTCTGTTCATTGACCCCCAGGCAACGGTCAAAGGGAAGTCAGCTGCAAATCGCTGCCAATATCAGGCGTCACTTTGCTTTGAAGGACAAGAGCAAACAAAAAACAAACAAACAAATATATATATATATATACAACTGTTGAAGGACAAGAGCAAATAGATAAATGAATATATACATATATTTTTGTATGGCCACCCCCCCCATGATCCACACCCAGAATGTGGTATGCAATAAAACACGGTAAGTTACAGTGTTGTATTGCATTCTTGTATATGTTGAGGCGCATCAGATTCCGCTGAGATTTCGAAGAACCGAAATTTTCGAAGAAGCCAAATGGATGTCGCATTGTCTCAGAAAGCAGATGACTTGCCTTCTGCTCACAAAGCAAACGATTTGCCTTTTGTGTTCTGTCTCAGGAAGTAGATGCTTTGCATTGTTTGTCAGACCACGAATACAGATGAGCAGGAGATTGGAAGCAGAACATGCTGAGAGGATAGCTAAAATCCAAACGGGGGGGGGGGGCAGAAAGTGCTGTGTGTTTTTTCGGTGCCCTCTCAACACTTTCTGCTTCACAAAAAGCTGATATGGAAGCTAAAAACCTAGCTGGAGGGCAGAACGTCTGAGAGGGTACTTCAAAACCTAGGGGCAGGTTGGGAAAAACCTGCGGGAAGCAGCGCAAGAAAAAGGAATGAATGCTCCGAACACCTATGCCCATCCGCAAGCCTGGAAGGGACCACTTGTTTTTGGGAGCCCGCCCTTTGTTGAAGGGGGTGCGGCCGGACAAGTCGTAGCCCATTTTCCGCTTCAAGCCCTTGGTGGGAGCCAGCTCCGCATTGTCCGCGATCGGGACGGGCACGTGCTAAGGCGAGGGCGGGGGCAGGTTGATTTGATGAGGGGGAAAGGAAGGTTGATATGACATGACCCGCAGACCACCGGTCCTTGCCAGCAGGACATATCGAAGCATCGTGGTTGCGCATTGCGCTGGCTTGTGAGCCTGAAAAGGGGCACCCATGAAGGACGGGGGGTCGTTGACAGGAGGCCGTAGCAACAAGCCACCTCAAGGCCAGTACTATCGAAGCCTTAATTCCTGAGCCTTGAACACACCTGAGCGGTGATCAAAATCAATAGGCCAAATTGCGATGATATCATTTAGCGCTTCCGCGTGCTTCCGCGCTGCGGGTGTTTGCTTCCGCGCTCTCATTTCCCTTCCGCGCCTTCCGCGGCTTGCGTCTCTTTCTTGCCAAGCCAACACAACTAGATACTGAGTTTGTCATCCACCACCCGTTGCTTTCGTGAAAAGCGTTGCCAACAGGATCACTGCAGCAAAATTGATTCACGCGGGCCTGGCAAATTGTTTTTGCTGTCCCTGAGAGGCTGCAGCTTGACGGGGCTTGAACCTCCAACTGTTGCCTCGTATCCTGGGAGGTCCGGGAGCTCAGTGGAGCCCAGACGGCTGTAGCAAATAGTTTATGGGTCCCATACTCATAACGACGCTGAAACGCGAATCCTAATAGACTTGCAACCGCAAACGTGAAGCCTCACGACACACCGCGGCTAGCCAGAACAACACATCACACACAAGGCATCCAAATCACGGAACCCTTCCGCCGTCCTTCCGCGCCCTTCCTCCAGCGTTTCGCGAATTGAGCCCCACATCAATCTCCACGCATTCTAGGCCTGAGCTAAAAACAATTTGTTCGGCCCAAAAAACGATTTGTTCGGGCCAAACAAATCGTTTTAGCTTCCGGGCACTAAAACGATTTGTTCGGCACGAACAAATACAAACGATTTGTTCAGTGCCCGGGAGCTAAAACGATTTGTTCGGCCCGAACAAATCGTTTTAATGCCCGGGAGCTAAAACGATTTGTTCCCGGGGAGCTAAAAAATCGGGCCGAACAAATCGTTTCAGTGCCCGGAGCTAAAACGATTTGTTCCCGAACAAATCGTTTTAGTGCCCGGGGAGCTAAAACGGTTCGGCCCGAACAAATCGTTTAGCTCCCCGGGCGCCAAAACCATTTCGCCTCAACTGACAACAGAAGAAGCCCACGTGGTGACTTGGGAAAGCACTCTGGCTTATCCAGGGGAGATGCGAAATGAAGAGGCTCGATTCCTCGACGCCGCTTCTTGCGGGGTGACGGCCAAAGCAGGCCAGTGAAAATCGTTTGGTTTTGCAGAAACGATTTTGTTTGCCCGAAGAAACAATGGAGCAAGAGATTTGATTTCGATACCTGTTGACGCTCCAAAAATGTTCCCCTTCCGCGCCCTTCCGCTGTGCAAATTTCGTAGTCAACTTCCGCCGGCCCTTCCGCAAGCTTCCGCGGCCTGCGGAAAACCTTCCGCGCTGATTGATTTCAGCGCTCCCTTACTTAAATTGCTTTGAGCATTTTTGATCGCTGCTCACCTGTTTGGATCGGCAAATCGCAGGTTGGCCAGAGACCAGTGTCAGCCAATTGGCTGATCCAGGAAGAGAAATCGGACGCGCCATGCTTTCAGACATCCAATCACCTGGATGATTTCCGGAAGGAAAAGGCTTCTGATAACTAAAATGAAACCCACCAAGTCCCTCGAGCATGTGTTGGAAAGCCCGCCCACCTTCGCGGAACTTGTTCTGGAAGTCTATCTCAAGAGGTGTGCCATGGCACATGCGGAGAATGGTGGTGCGCATGACTTTCGCTTTCGCGCCATCTGCAAACTTGATGATACGCTTGATCACCGGGCCCTTGGAAACGATGAAGAGCTGCTGCGTGGTGCACGGGTGTTGCCTTTCATGCCGATCGGTGGAGGTAGCTCGGCAATGCTCGGCATAGCGCTGCTGCAAGAAGAGGGTCTCGATTTGTTTGAAGTCCAAGCTGCCTTCGTGGTCACTAGGAACTTCGAGAAACTGGACCTTCTTCTTCATCCTCTGACATCGCCCTCCGTGACCGCCAACGCCTCCTCGAAGGCACAGGCGCCGTCCAGGACGCCGTCGTCCATCGCCGGGGCAAGAGATTGAGGCCGTCCAGGGACAAAGGCGTTCAGACTTGGACTGCGGGGACGCTATGACACAGCTGTTGCTGCAGAAGTGCCGGGGAAAACATATTCCTCTAGCATTGCTGCCAATCCAAATGGGGCAAACAAACGTAGCAGCAAGCGGCTACCATTGCGAATGCTCCTCTGGAGCAACGCATGTGAAATGGAAAGCCACTGCCTCTCCAAGGCTCACTGCTCAGCAGTTTTTGCTACCCTCTCCAGTTCCGACTGAAGCGGGTCTTTTTGAAAATCGCAGCGTTGAAGAAGAAGACTTCGTGGCCTGAGCCGGGTGGCTTGCGCACACTGATGTGGCGCAGACGCGGGTTTTAGCTTGTGACGTTTACATGTCAAGAGGCCGTCCGGCAAGTGACCGATCTTCACAGGCCAGCTCGTGGGTGCGCAGGGCACGCTCACTGGTTCGGTACACATGGCTCGAACCGCCGCCAAAATTTCCTATGGCAATTTCCCGGAAAGCTGGTCACTCACAGCGACGAGCACAAGGAAGATTCAACAGCAGGAGCCAAATTCTATGGATGTGCACTCTGTTACGTCTTCCATGCAACACTCCGGGCATGGATCCAGCACTCTCGGCGTGGATCATGGGGGGGGTGAGCATATATATATATATATATATATATGTATGTTTGTATATATATATGAGGAGCGGACGAAACCCTTTACTTGGCCTTAGTACTTTTTTTAACGTCATCGTTTTTGGGGGAGACCTCATCGTTTTACAGTGTTTTCGAACTTTGGCAGATCCGGCTCCAAAATCGCAACTTTCTAGCACAAGTCTAGTACGCGAAGTACACTTCCGCAGCTCCAGCTCGAAATTCGCAACTTTGTAGTACAAGTCTAGTACGCGAAGTACACTTCCGCAGCTCCAGCCCGAAAATTGCGAAATACAATTCCGCAGCTCCAGCTCGAAAAGCGAAACTTGGCAGGCAGTACAAGTCTAATACGCGAAGTACACTTCCGCATCTCCAGCTCGAAAATCGCAACTGTGCAGTACAAGTCTAGTACGCGAAGTACACTTCCGCATCTCCAGCTCAAAAATCACAACTTTGTCGTGCAAGTCTAGTACGCGAAGTACACTTCCGCAGCTCCAGCTCGAAAATCGCAACTTCGTAGTACAAGTCTAGTACGCGAAGTACACTTCCGCATCTCCAGCTCGAAAATCGCAACTTTGTAGTACAAGTCTAGTACGCGAAGTACACTTCCGCATCTCCAGCTCGAAAATCGCAACTTTGTAGTACAAGTCTAGTACGCGAAGTACACTTCCGCACAGCTCGAAAATCGCAACGCAGTCTAGTCCAGCTCGAAAATCGCAACTTTGTGTCTAGTACACTTCCGCATCTCCAGCTCGAAATCGCAACTTTGTAGTACAAGTCTAGTACGCGAAGTACACTTCCGCATCTCCAGCTCGAAAATCGCTCAACTTTGTAGTACAAGTCTAGTACGCGAAGTACACTTCCGCATCTCCAGCTCGAAAATCGCAACTTTGTAGTACAAGTCTAGTACGCGAAGTACACTTCCGCATCTCCAGCTCGAAATCGCAACTTTGTAGTACAAGTCTAGTACGCGAAGTACACTTCCGCAGCTCCAGCTCGAAAATCGCAACTTTGTAGTACAAGTCTAGTACGCGAAGTACACTTCCGCAGCTCCAGCTCGAAAATCGCAACTTTGTAGTACAAGTCTAGTACGCGAAGTACACTTCCGCATCTCCAGCTCGAAAATCGCAACTTTGTAGTACAAGTCTAGTACGCGAAGTACACTTCCGCATCTCCAGCTCGAAAATCGCAACTTTGTAGTACAAGTCTAGTACGCGAAGTACACTTCCGCAGCTCCAGCTCGAAAATCGCAACTTTGTAGTACAAGTCTAGTACGCGAAGTACACTTCCGCAGCTCCAGCTCGAAAATCGCAACTTTGTAGTACAAGTCTAGTACGCGAAGTACACTTCCGCATCTCCAGCTCGAAAATCGCAACTTTGTAGTACAAGTCTAGTACGCGAAGTACACTTCCGCATCTTCAGCTCGAAAATCGCAACTTTGTAGTACAAGTCTAGTACGCGAAGTACACTTCCGCATCTCCAGCTCGAAAATCGCAACTTTGTAGTACAAGTCTAGTACACGAAGTACACTTCCGCATCTTCAGCTCGAAAATCGTAACTTTGTAGTACAAGTCTAGTACGCGAAGTACACTTCCGCAGCTCCAGCTCGAAAATCGCAACTTTGTAGTACAAGTCTAGTACGCGAAGTACACTTCCGCATCTCCAGCTCGAAAATCGCAACTTTGTAGTACAAGTCTAGTACGCGAAGTACACTTCCGCAGCTCCAGCTCGAAAATCGCAACTTTGTAGTACAAGTCTAGTACGCGAAGTACACTTCCGCAGCTCCAGCTCGAAAATCGCAACTTTGTAGTACAAGTCTAGTACGCGAAGTACACTTCCGCAGCTCCAGCTCGAAATCGCAACTTTGTAGTACAAGTCTAGTACGCGAAGTACACTTCCGCAGCTCCAGCTCGAAAATCGCAACTTTGTAGTACAAGTCTAGTACGCGAAGTACACTTCCGCAGCTCCAGCTCGAAAATCGCAACTTTGTAGTACAAGTCTAGTACGCGAAGTACACTTCCGCATCTCCAGCTCGAAAATCGCAACTTTGTAGTACAAGTCTAGTACGCGAAGTACACTTCCGCAGCTCCAGCTCGAAAATCGCAACTTTGTAGTACAAGTCTAGTACGCGAAGTACACTTCCGCAGCTCCAGCTCGAAAATCGCAACTTTGTAGTACAAGTCTAGTACGCGAAGTACACTTCCGCAGCTCCAGCTCGAAAATCGCAACTTTGTAGTACAAGTCTAGTACGCGAAGTACACTTCCGCAGCTCCAGCTCGAAAATCGCAACTTTGTAGTACAAGTCTAGTACGCGAAGTACACTTCCGCATCTCCAGCTCGAAAATCGCAACTTTGTAGTACAAGTCTAGTACACGAAGTACACTTCCGCATCTCCAGCTCGAAAATCGCAACTTTGTAGTACAAGTCTAGTACGCGAAGTACACTTCCGCAGCTCCAGCTCGAAAGTCGCAACTTTGTAGTACAAGTCTAGTACGCGAAGTACACTTCCGCAGCTCCAGCTCGAAAATCGCAACTTTGTAGTACAAGTCTAGTACGCGAAGTACACTTCCGCATCTCCAGCTCGAAAATCGCAACTTTGTAGTACAAGTCTAGTACGCGAAGTACACTTCCGCCTCTGCAGCTCGAAAATCGCAACTTTGTAGTACAAGTCTAGTACGCGAAGTACACTTCCGCAGCTCCAGCTCGAAATTCGCAACTTTGTAGTACAAGTCTAGTACGCGAAGAACACTTCCGCAGCTCCAGCTCGAAAATCGCAGCTTTGTAGTACAAGCCTAGGCTGTACGCGAAGTACACTTCCGCATCTCCAGCTCGAAAATCGCAACTTCTCAGTACAAGTGTCGTATTTACAGAGCCGTGTGTTCGTTAAGGGTCATCGTTTTTGGGGGAGACCTCATCGTTTTCCATGGTTTTGGGATGTGTTACTCAAAAGCGTGCCCCGTCTTGATAAAGTGGTCTACGCGTGTTTTGTCCGTGGCTCATATATATATATATGCAATATATATAAATGTATATATTTATTTAATTATCTATTCATTTATCCAGTGTTCCCTGGAAGCATCACGCGCCCAAAGCACGTGCAATTCAAAATGGCCGCGCTCGCTGACATGACAGGCAACTGCGATGTTTTCATTGAAAGCGGTCAAGAAGGACCTCTCACTGAACGTGGTGAGGTGAAACTGAGGGACTTTTGCTTTGGCGTGCAAACGCATCAAACCCCGCCAGGTTCCGCACGCGGGCGGAGGACTTAGCCATGGGTTGGCCTCGCGCTTGCGCGCGCGCACTCGCCGCGTTTCTTAAAAACAAAACATACACGGGCCAGGAGCCGTGCGGAGATCGCAGAGAAAGGCACCTCAGGCTGTCAGGTCGCTGGCACTTTCTTGTCTCAAGATAGGAATCGGACCCGACCAAACGGGCAGTGTCAAAAAGAGACACAAACACACAAACACGGATCGGCACGAGTCTATTTTCATCAGCGAGATCAAGCTGGGCCGGCCGCGGTAGCACCGGAGGCCAATGAGGACATGTCATCCTGCGTTTCGATGCGCGTTTTCTCGAGTGGCTTGGGCTCGAAGGGACGTCCTCACTCCCAGTTCAACATTTCCTGCTTGAAAGTCACAAGAGAAACTGCTTATCAAGCAACTCCCCCAGAACTGGTTCAACGACTGACGTTTGAACTGGCTCAGGGAAAGAAACATACAGCGTTTGCTCAGTGACCCTGGTAGCAAACGGGATCCTTTTCGAAGTTGACAACTTTCTGTGGGGAGACCAAAAGGGGTAAATGGAATGATGACACGTCACTAGGTACAGGGCCTGGCTCAAAACAACTCCAACTCCCGCCACCCCCGGCCGGATGCCGCAGTGGTGCACCGCCATCTTGCGCGAGCATCACCTCGCTCGAGCGAGAACGCAAAAACCGCCAGGTGGTTTGATCTCGCTTTGTGTAGTCAGAGGATTCGCCCCTGAAATGATGGCTTGCCCTTCGGTTTCCTCTTTAAAACCACAACAAAAGAACGGTACCGACTCCAGAAAGGACGAGCCACGTTTTGCTTCAAGGTTCCGTATCCCAGTTTCTCATGGAAGCCTGAAGGCTGAAACCATTTCTCTTCCATCGCTCATGCTAAGTGATTTGCCCTTGACTCGAGTTGAAGTCGTTCTCCTCTGGCAGCTGGGGCTTGAAAAGGAACAAGCAAGAACGGAGACAAAGAAACAAATGATGACGAATTCGACCACCCAGTACAGAGAAGCTCTTGGCCTTGTCAAGAAGACAACTCATTCAAGGGGACTGAGCACATGGTTTGATTGTTCGCCTTGGGATTTCCCCCTCTCCATGACCTCCCGAAATCAGCTGCAACCAATAACATTGTCAGCAGCGCAGCCGACTTGTATTTGCCATGCTTTGCCTTGACAGTCGCCACAAGCGGATCCTCCTGCATGCCAAAATAAGCTGTTGCTGTTCCCCACAGGACAATTCCCCACGGGACAACTAGAGAGTCTTTGCCATGAACGGCTGCATTGTCCAGAATCTCAAATTGACTTTGTGCAGGTTTTAAGTTTTAAGGAAAACCAAAAGGAAAACCACCATCTTTTCTGTTGGGTCCAACCTTAAAGAAGGTAGACCCAATTAACTGCTGGACTCTTCGATCCATCGCCTTGGCTCACCCACACGCCGTGCCGGTGCCGTCACCGGAGCATCGCCAAGCCGGCAGTCAAGTGGCGTCAACGCGTTTGTATTTTTTTCCGAAGGCGTATTGAAACTCATACATTTGGGAATATATGGTGGTGTTTGCACCACAACTTAAATGCAGGTCTGTTCTGAAGTTCACTATCGATTTTGAAAACTCAATTCATCTGTGAGCATGTCAAATTTATTTCTTCATTGTTTTCTCGTATTGAGCTTTTAGCAGGCGTGAATAGGCTGACCTTGCGCATGCATAGCTTGGCAATCCCCAGTCACACCCCCAGGCTTTTGCCTTTTTTCCCCGCACGCATGTCACCAGGGGGTGGTGCCGCCTAGTTCGATGGAAAGATGAAGACACCAGAAGAAATGCTCACATGACAAAAGCAAGCCTGGCCTCTCCCCCAGCTGGGCTTCCATGACTTGTTCCAGTCTTCCTTTTCTGTCCATGGTTCCCACTTCTCCTCCTTCTTGTTCTCCCACTTCTCCTCCTTCTTCTCCCACTTCTCCTCTCTGTTGTCCTTGCTCCACGTATTCCACCGGTCTTTCGGGTCCTTCCACCCGGCCCAGCCGGAGCGCTCCGAACGCTTTGGCTCGCGCGGAGCGCGCTCCACGCGCCCGACCGGTGCGGGCTCGGCAGCTTCCGGCCAGCTTTGGGGCTCCTCCCAAGTGACCTTGGGGTTCTTCCAAGTGTTCCAGCCTTCCTTCCGCTCGCGGTCCGGCGCCTTAGCCAATCCACTCAGAAAGAAACGCTTGATTTGAAGAAAGGAACAAATTTCGCGTAATGCATCCAAGGGTCGTTCCAAGACCAATTCTTCCCTCGCCAATCATTCGACCAATCCTTGCCTTTGAAGCCTCCCCCCTTTCCTTTCTCTTCACTGCTCTCCCATGTATCCTCCTTCCAATCAGATTTCTCCCAGCCTTCCTCCCAGCCTTCCTGGGCTCGATCCCTCTCCTTGCCCTTTTTACCCTTGGCTTGGCCTTTTTGGCCTTTCTTCCCCCGCTCTTTTCCTGTGGCCTTGCCCTCCTTGCCCTGCTTGCCCTCCTTGCCCTTCTTGCCCTTTTTGCCTTTGCCTTCGGCCGCATAATAAGAGAAGCTCATTGAAAGCTGTGGCGTGGGCTGTGGCATGAGGGCCTGTGCAGCGAAGTGAGATTGGCTGCGCATTTGCATGCTGGCTGCTTCCTCTTCAGGCTCATCCTCCACTTCTTCCTCCTGCCAGTCCTCCTCTTCTTCGTCCTCGCCATCATCATCTTCCTCTTCTTCCTCCTCCCCTTCCTGTCCGGTTTCATCATCCTCGTCTTCCTCTTCCTCCCTTTCCTCCCTTTCCTCCCGTTCCTCCCTTTCCTCCCTTTCCTCCCTTTCCTCCCTTTCCTCCCTTTCCGCCCTCTGCTCTGCCCGTCCCCTCTCCGTCTCCCCTATTCTCTCCGCCCTTTCCTGCTTCTCTTCGTGCTCGTCCTCGCTGTCCTGCACCACCTCCGCAACCGCAACCTCCGCCTCCGGCTCTGCCTCATTTGCCTCGCCGTCTTCGACACCAGCCTGCAGCATTCTCCAATCCCAAGCGCAGGGAGACAGCTCTCCAGGCCTGGGCGAAGATGGATTCCAGGACCATGTTCGCCTGCTTCCAAACGAGAATTCGTCCCACACCTCAGTACCACCGGCCTGGTGCTGCGCCCAGTCATCCAAGGCCTCTTTCGGCTCAGAACATGGAGAGACCTCCAAAGGTCACAAACAACATGAGAGCGCGCACTCTCCCAGCGCCTCCCCACTGGGCGGCTCTGGAATCGCAACCTGCGGCTCGGGCGCCTGGCCAAAAGATGATGCAGTCTGAGCAAGCTGCCCAAGCTGCCCAAGCTTGGAAGAAGCTGCCTGAAAGAGAGGCACCGGCGGCACCTGGCCATGCCATTGACAAGACATAAAAGAGGTGGCAGTCCGTCGATCGTGTCCCCTTGATCTGCAATGTGCGCCGGCGTCACCGTCACCGGCTGCGCCGGAGTGGGAAATGACTGACAGGCAAAGCATGCAAGACGTGCGAGCTTGTGTTGCCGGTATTCTAGCTGCACCCTCCTCATGATAAGATCCTTCTCTTTAGAAATTGGGCAAGAGTCCTGGGAAGATGGGTGGTGTTTGACGAGAACGGTGGATGAAGAGAATGCGGAACAACCGACTTGGGGTCATCCAGCAAGCTTGCCCCGTTCGGAAAAGTCACAGTTCGCTGTCGCAACCGCGTTTCTTGAATGCGGCTGAGGTGCCACTGGCTCCGGCGCCTCCTGACTCGCTCTGGAAGCAAGACACAAGTTTCAACTTCCGAATTGGCGCCGTTTTTCAGGGCTTCCTTTCAGTCCACAAAGTCTTTTGTCGGGTCCTTGGCTCCAAGCTCGTCCTGCACCGCCTAGCCAAGCCAACCCCGACTTGGTTTCCCTGGTGACTGCCGTGCTCAGAAAACCGAAAGGGACATATGTGCACCACATGGACCCACACCCGGAATATGTACCTCACTAACACGGGCGGAGCAAAAAGCACTCACACGCACTTTCACATGGGCTCCCCTCCAAGAAACAAACACACAACAACCAACCAAAAAACATGTTCTCCGTGCACTCATGTTCGGGCCTGGGAAGGCGAAGACTGCACCGTGACGGCCTCGGCCTTGAGAGATCTTGAGCTGCACTCTTGGCTCTGGTTTGGTTTAGATAGGCCTCTCATTTATCCTCAAATGAGACCGGCAAACCCCAAACCGGCAATCCCCATGTCACCAACCTGGGGAAGCCACTGGCTCGGGTGCCAAAGGTGGTGCCTTCGGCGCCTTCGGCGCCCAAAGCTCATCCTTTCCAGGTGTGTCAGGAACCTGGCAAAAGCTTCCGGGTTCGCCAGTCATTTCCTTCCATTTTCTCATGCTACAAGCTTAGGCCTTAACACAGTTTCTCTATTCAAAACAACCACTGGCAGTATACTGGACAGTATGCAGACACACCTGCCCCTGAACAGCACCGGGGAATCACACACAAGAGTTTAATCGGGCAAGCTTCAGAAAATCACCAGCGAGAGTTCCGTCATCTGGGGTCGGAAAAGAGATCAACAGGCTTGGTACGGAAGGATCAGCAACTGAGCTGTTGCAGCCCCTGCTGGATTTGTCAGGCCTGCACAGAGGGCTCCTGCGATCTGTGAGATCGAAAAGGAAACCACTGCATTGCCATTTCAAGGCGGCACTGCCACATCGTCTTGCCACGTTGCTAAATGTCCGCTCCTCTGGTAAGGAAGGCGCTGGCTCAGCGGCGGCCTGCACATGGGAATCTGCACAACGAGGCAATGAGCCCCTTTCGCAAAGCGCCAGGAGCCACATCTTGCGGATCTTCAGGCAGCAAGCAAAGAAACATGGCGCCTCCTTGGGAGGCTCGCTGATCTCCTGGGCAAGACTGAACTGGCCAACCTGCTCGCACTTGTAAAATCGGATCTGCTTTTGGAAACCTGAAAGGAAACCTGAAAGCTCAGAGCTTTTTGACCAACACAGAGACCATCTTCTCCCAAGGCATCCCAGTCCGTCGGCTCGTGCTCTGGGCTTGGCGCTTTCCTCGGGCCGATTCGCATGTCAGAATAGATGAATATATATGAATATGAGAAATATGATTAAATATGTCTTTAGACAGAATCGGAACCCCCAAACAACGCTTGATGTTCTCTTCGTTTCCCTTTAAACCACCCACAAGATGGTACCCTGGTACCCTCAAAACGACACGCACACACATGCAAATGCTTAAGGTTCTCCGATGACAAAAGAAGAATATGAAGAATTGTGCATCCTTGTTTGTCGTGATCCCTCGTATCTGCCGGGTGTCACCTTTGCAAAGTATGGAACCTCCACCAAGGGGGCCCTCAACACAAGCTTCGCTGGTTTGCGTTCCCAGAAAACCAGCGGGTTCGATCAAAGGGTTCATCATCTGGCACCACTTCTCAGTTCCAATGCAGGCTGGTGTCGGACGCACCTCTTCCGGCGCTCTGCGCTTCACCTGAAGCAACTCCCGGTCGGCATGGCGTGGCAAGTCCTACAAGCCGTTCGTACTTCCGATGCACCCGGTGCCTCGAAGTATGGGTAGCTATTCGCCAAGCATCGCCGGCGTTTGCGCGGCGGCTCCTAAAATGGCGGCAAGAGTCGACCAGCCCACCACTGTCCTTCCAGTCTTGCCAATATCCTCCTTACAGTTTCAAGACCTCGCAAAAGCACGTCAAGTCGAGGATGTTCTGCCCGAAAGCCCATCGCATCAGCATCAATGGCTCTTGAGCCTCTCCTGTATCGTTGGCTTGGCGCGCGGACGGAGGTAGAAAAACCTGGACATTGGCTTGCGTCAAACGTGTCATCGTGGCAATCATTGTCACTGACGCAGGGCCTTTGCTGTAATTCAGTGTTTCGCTCAAGTGGGTGGTTTAAGAGGATCAGTGGATCATTCAATTGAAGATTCTCAAAATGGTGGGCCCCGTTTTCTCCTTGCCATTTTAGGACCCCCTGAGAAACACACACACACACACACACATTGCCGACACAAACGGCTTCAAGAGATGGGCTGAATCTCAGCCAGAGCACTCTGGATCATGCAGGAGGTAGTTGAGCACGGCATCCAAGGGGCCTCCATGCAGAGTCGAACGGCAACTCAGAGACTGCGCCTTTGGCCAATCTCTCGTTGAGTTGCTTCCCTCTCCTGGACATGACCCCATGGCCCGCACGGAAGCTCCAGCATTCCGGTCAAGCTACACAATGGACTGTTTTGGCAGTGGCGGACAGGCTCAGGCTCATTCATTCGGGAAGACTGAAAAGCTTGTCGAATCTCCGTCTTCAGCGGCAAAACACACAGATTTCTTTTCTTGGAACATGCGCGTGGGTGGCTGGTTGAACGGCAAATGTAAGGAGAAAGACGTGTCTCTGGGTGGGTTCTATGCCGTTATCTTTGATTTGGCTTGGCATGCCTTGACACAATCTAGGCACAGGCTTCAAGGCCGGTGCGGAAGCTGGAGAAAAAGCGCGCACAGCAGCATTGTGATGGCAGCTCGCACGATATAAAATGTGGGCGTATCTCAAAGTAGGGGAATCCTCACAATTTACGTTTTACCGTGAATTCCGTTTTAAGCCAACCCCAAGAAGGGATACCCTCAAAAAGATACGGCCATGTGGGCGTTTCTCTTTCAGAGCTCGGCTTTGGCTCTGTACCAGATCCACTCATTTCAGTGTCCCCGGCATGGGCCCGATGGGCATGAAGACTGAACTTCTGAACTGTACAACTTGGTTTCCGGGTTTACCGGGTTCCTAGCTAGGGGCCGTGGCCAAAGTTTCTTTGACTCGGCTTTGCCGAGAAGCGAAAGAACTCGCATTCGATCTACAGAGCGCAGCGTCTGAGCTCAGAGGCCGGCAAAGGACAGGAGACGGCCTGCAAAAAACACGTTGTTTTTCCCGCAGGCCAAGTGGGTGCTTCTCCAATGGATCCCTCGACAGTGGTTTTCCTATTGGTTTCCCTTCAAAAAAAAAACTTTTGGGCAGTCCCAAAAGGGCAGCGAGGCCGCCGAAGCCATGCCTGAAGGCCACGGGAAGCATCCAGGAGGAGGATCCAGGCCTGAGGAACCAAGCATCTCCATGTACAAGACGCTCAAACGGGAAGGTTTAAACAAGAATGGCTTAAACGCGTATTCTCTTTCGCTTGACGGCCCAAATTTTGGAGGGGCCAAAGCTGAAACGCCGCGGCGCCTCCTTGTCCGTGCGTGGGCTGCTCATGAGGGAGTTGTACAGCCTCGGGCGAGTATGTTATTGATATCATAAGAAATCTCTAAGGCTCCTTCGTCAATCGCATTTTGGGAGCAAAAAGCAGAGCCATGGAAGGACATTGGCCCACCGCAAATCACATCAACAACAACCCTGCGTGATTGCGGTATTGAAGGACTTCCGCGCTGCTTGATCAAAATGCGGAGAAGGTGCAGAAACCAACATCGCCCGGTGAGCTCGTCCATCTGTACACTATCCTGAGTCTACGTCGCCCGCTGGGCTCAAATCCACAAGCAAATGGAAGCAGAACATTCTAACCACATTATTGTAAAATCCGAGGTCTTGTATCAAACTTGGCCGTTTGGATTGGTCGGGGTCGTTTCCCATTCACTCACAGCCAGTCCAAATCCACAAACCAATCCAAACCACCCCTTCTTGGCAGTGTCTTTTCCTGGGGCACCCCCAATTTGGTTTCCCTATGCCAACCAAAGAAAACCTTCCAAAAATGAAACGCCCAGTGTTCCCGGTTCCCTTTGTCAGAGGTCCAGGCCACCAACTGGATGTCGGACAGATGTTCTCTGGCCACATCGATGAAGCTTCCCACCTTGCCGCTGCGCCTGACAGTCGGACACGCGACTTGGTAGGGAAAACCCCAAAATGCGTGGCGTCCTGTGGGTTTCCCTTACCAACCTGAAAAGAAAGCCCTAATTAACTCACAGTGTGCAAGCCGACACCTAGAAAAAAGAACGAGCACGCAATCACCCCAAGGTGGATGCAGAGCCTAAGTATCGCGATGAGAACTCTTCAATGAGAACCCTGAAGGTTCCCGAACTTTCCCTCGCAAAGGCGCCCCGCCTTGCCCTTTTGCCTGGCTGCCTCGGAAGTTCTTCAGGGTTGGGAGTTCAAAGCGGAGTCGCAAGACCTTCTTGATGTCACCAAGCTCAAGGGAACTTACCAGCTTTGAGCCACAGACTGTGGCTCCAGCAAGTGCGGGAGGGCGAGCCTGAGTTGTACCATGGCCGGTCAAAGCTCCTGAAAAGGCTCCATTCACCCCGAAAACTCGTGGTTTGAAGGTCAAGGAGCCCCCCATTGCCCTCCAGAACTGCAGATGCAAAGCCCCAAACAATCCACGGATAAATGGCTCAACCGAGGACCCCGGCAGTGCATCCCGCACTCGGTTTCCCCAAGCGAAGCAAATGATGGGCAGAGCTCTGAGCTGCCTTAGCCGAGCCCCCATTGTTTCATACTAATATGTATATACATGCAGTTGGTGACGGTGTGCGTCTGAAGGGTTCACGTCACTTTGAGACAGGTGCTTGAAGGGCAGGCGCCGGTGTGTCAGGAAGGCGTAGTAGGCGGTGTACTGCGCACAGTCCAGCCTGAAGCTCGCCACAATTGAGGCGCCCGAAACCCCTTGCTTGTTTGGTTCCACCATGGTCACAAAGCTTCATGTCGGCCTTTCCAAAAGCCAGGCGCCCATGAATCAGGTAGCAAAAGGTCCCGGCGCCGCAACGCCGCGCTCCTCACATCATGGCGCGCAGCAAAATCAGCACGCTGATTTTTGAGATCGAATTCAGTCCAAAGGCTTCAACCCTGAGAGCTGACCACAAGCCGCAACAAAAACACGTGCAATGATCCCCTGGAAATAACTGACCTATACTCCCATCAAAGAATGAATCACTCTTGTCACGGCAAAATAACCATGACCAAAGCAAAGCGCCATGGAAGAAACCAGCGGGCCATCGCGCCGATTCACTTCTCCTGCAGCTCCGCTGGGGGTCTCATCATGGGCACAAGGCTCCAATCCTGGCATCGTGTCCGCGGGCTGAGACATGGGTGCCTGGTTCAACATGGATCTTTGGACGAAGCCTCTTAGCTGGCACAAGTTTCAGGGGCGCATCAAGGATCCGAGTCAAGTGACGCACTTGTGGAAAGGTGTCACAGGTATGCGCGGCGTATTTGAACGGGCCATTCCATCCTCTCATCGGCTCCTGGCTGGAAGCCACATGCAGGGCCATACGGTGGCTGAGGACCTTGGGTGATACGAACTGCTGTGGAAGCTGAACCATTTGGGTGTGTCTTTTGAGGGTACCCTTTTGGGGTCGGTGTTCAAAGGAAACCAAAAGGAAAACCATCATTCAGGGGGTCCCCTAAAAAACGACACACTGATTTGGATTGAAACTCAAGGTGTCTGTTTGATGAACGGGTAAGGCGTGGCCCGCGGCAAGCCAAGGATGCCGCAGCGACCACAGCTTCAGGCGACAACGTCTCTGAGGTGAAGTGCTTGGTGATGCAAAGCCCGGTGATCCTGAGCCACAAACCCGGGGTTCTTGCAGATCCAACAACCCCCCCCAATCCAAAGTGGTGTCCATTTGGTCTGAAGAAGGTAGTTTGAAATGCCACATTGTAATCATTCTGGAGCCCTGCAAACCTGACAGCCTTCCCCGCAAGCTGCTCCCCCCAACCTGTCAGGCCCGGGCAAGCAGAAGAACAGCCCGTTCTCCGTAACTTCCTTCACTGCGCGCATGCCTCAGCTCACGCTTCAGATCGGGAAAGAAAAGAGAAGCGTGTTGCATAGGTCCGCGAACTATGGCTTCACAGGTTCAATTCGCTCCTTCATACCTTGCGCGTGTTTCGCGCGTGCTTCATGCGTGTCATTTTTTTGTGATAGGACTTGTGGAACAAGCTGTGGATTTTGTCTTGTGTGCAAATCAGGGGGGCGACTTCGATGACCATTCCGCTTTCTGTTGGCGACTTTCAGGGTCCCTGGATGACCTACTTTGAACCTCCTGTGGCACAAAACACGCCCAAGTGCCACGGCGAGTTTTCGAGCAGCCACAAAGTGGATGTTTTGGATCTATGAGCCGCGGGCTATTGGTGCTGGCCCAGCGCGACATGAGCCGCACGATGCCCACCGCTGTGTGCACCTCGAACAAAACATCGGGTCCGAGCGTTTCCGAAGTCTCACTGGGTGCCCGGCGCTGTGCTGCGTGTTGAACCTCAGTGACACCCAAACGAAGAACTCATGCCAGGCCCAGGGATCCTTTCCTAAAATCACAGGGAAACTGCAGGGTTTGAAAAAAGAACGATGGTTGAAAAGTTGAAAACAAGGCGGAATTAATCCTTCAACTTTGGATCCTTGGGGCACATGGCCGTCTGAAAACGCAGTCGATTCGCCTGGGCTTCCCGCATGTCACGGCTGCGTTTTAGGCTCTGTGCTTCTGACACCTTTCGGCTCATGTTTCGGTCCTTCCTGGATTCCTCTTTATTTGGCCCAACGAGTTCAGAGACTAACGGCATAATATGGCATAATGCTTGAATCCATATCGGCTTTCTCATGGCTTGCACACTCAGTGGCGACCGACTGCCCTTTTCCTCCGAATTTGAAGGCAACGAGCGGAAATTTTCAGGGCTCGGATCCAGCGCACATACTCCTCGTCCGCAGCATCTCGCCGGGGCCGCACCTTCGGGAAGCCCAGTCAAAGAAAGACCACACCCACTTTGGTTCTCCCGGAGTGTTTACAGGAAACTCGATCCTATTCGATCCTGTTTATGTTTAGTTGTTAACTGCTTTTGAGGTAGGTTGCAAAATGCAGAAGCAAACAACCAAGCAGGCATGGACGACAAACGGTCATTGATCGCAAACGCTCACAAATCGACGGCCGCTGCCTTCCATTGGGATTGCTCCTCAGGAAGCCTGAGATGGAGTCTTGACCAAGACCTTTGCGGGGAAGCTTTCAATGAATGCACGCCTCAATATATAAAACCCCGCTATGAACCCCGCTTCTTGCTTAATCGTGAATGATTAATGAGTTGTTGCAAACCAAGCACTTTTGAGCCCCCCACTTCTGGGCCCATGATCGCCATGGGCTCAAACACACATCCCATACAAAACCGATGAAGCTACTTCGCCCGGCAAAACAAAACACGAAAAAGAAGCCACGTGCGATCCAAACGCAGTGCCAAGCAGCAGCACGAAGCAGTCACTGCCCAGCACCGGGCCCAGCTTCCTGCCCAGGCCCCGGGCTCGAATCGGATGGAAACCCCATGAAATGGGATGCTTCTGCCGTAGCATTCGAGCTGAATGCGTCTCTGAAAAAAACGCTGAGCCAAGGAAAACTCGAAAAGCCAATGGCAGCGTAACATTGATGCTCTGCAACGTGCTGGCCCAGGGCTGCCCCAAAACGCCAGCCTGCCGACATCAGGCCACAGCTCAGAGCCTGCCGTGAAGACGTCCAGCATCTCAGAGTCTTGCAGACTTGAGAGGCGTACATCCCAAAGAAGCTTCCTGTTCCCGGTGGGTTTGCCCATGACATAAGACTCATAGGATATCAATCTGCACACACTCTCTCACACACACATGAAACATCGTGATTGGCAGTGGGCAAGTTGTTTTCTTCAAAAGAACAAACCAGTCGATTGGTCTGAAGCGAGTAGCACACTTCACACCTGCCAAAACCCCAAAAAGAGCATACTCTCCTGAAAATAATCGCGGAACAAACACATGTTTCAAGGGCTTGGTGGGGACACCCTTGACGATTCCCTGTATTTGTGTGCGGTTGTGCACAAGAACCTTGCCTAAAGAGACCTATATGGCTCTGGCAAAATCTGTGCAGCACTTGTGTATTGCATGCCTCCTGAGCATTACGTGAACATCAGAGAGCTAGGCTGCCTGCTTGCGCCCGGCTCTACATTTGCACGCTGACTTCCCCATATCGCTTCGAAAAGCCGCACGTGTCACTCACAAGCCCTGGATATGGCGAGCCCCTGAACCAGGCGTTGATTTGACGCTGCACTCCATATATACCATTGCTCACAATGGAACCTACACCAAATACTGTACCTCGGACTCCTTGCTTCCCTCCATATTCCATGCTCCAGAGGAATCTTAACCCAAACGCCGCTAAGCCACACGACGGCCGAGATCTCCATTGCTGGCTTGCGACTGCAAGTGACCGCCTCAGCACAGGCTCTCTCACGTAATGCCTGAAGGACTGAGGAAACTTCAGACTTGGAACAGACAGAATTCAGGTTTAGTGTGCTGCATTGCTTGTGGGGAAGCATATCCCCTGTCAATGACTCTGAGGGACATTCTCCTTGCAGCCTTTCACTGAACCCCTGCGGTATCCCCCAACGAGTCGTGACAAATCGGATGCGCCTCGCACCAGAGCCTCCATGGGCAGCGCGGGCAAGTGCACCGGCTGCTGGCCTGACTTTCCACCTAAACCCCACGTGCTGTCCAAAAGCGAACGTCAAAGTGGTCCACGGTTTTCCAGCTCCTTGGACCCCCATACCTTTCAAGACTTGAGGGTTCTTTGGACTCGGGGCGAAACCATTATGCTGGAATCATCAATATGTCTACTGGTGACACCTCTTCTGAAGATCCTTTCAAGATATTGGCACACGATCCCACTGAAGTCCCCTTGTTTTGCAATTGCACAATTTCAGAATAGGGGGAACCACCAACATGATGCTGGTTTCATTTGGGCTTCCCTAACAAACGCGCCCCAAAAAGGGCCTCCAAGATTTCTCGCCCCGCGCCTGTCTCCTGCTCCTTGGAAACCTCGCCGGCCAAGGCCTTCCGCAAGGAGTGGCCTCGGATGCGCGTCCCTCGGGTTGGCTGACAAGGGAGCTGGGGTCACACGGCTCCCACAGCGCTTCCAGTTTTGCCCACATGGAGCGTTTGGAGCGTTCCCGTACGCAAGTTCTGCAAGGCTGTCAGCTGAACCCTGCAGGCTGACAGCCTGTGGACCATTGTCCTCAAGGGGTGAGTTTGCATCGCGACGTGAGGCACCGATGGGAACGACAGTGCGTCATCCCTGCTAGATGCTCCACAACGTGAACACCCCGGTGAAATCTTAATATAAGGATTGATTGCGCAATTTCCAACCCAGGACACGGCAAAATTACCATTGGTTTTGTTGGGTAAACCACAGCAACAAACTAGCAGTAGCAAACAATTTAAGGCACCAACTAGTTGGCCGTTGATTCAAGCTTCCTGACTGCACCGTGTGTGCGCGATGTTTTCTGACTAAGGGAACCCTTTCGGTTGCTTCAAGGGAAACCAGAAACCCCCCTTTTGAGGCAATCCGTGTTCAGCTTGCTAACCGAAAGGATTTGGGCTTATCCCCCCATTGGGGGTTGCCATTTTTGGAGTTGCCTGTGCTGTGGTTGCAAAGGGACACCAAAGGCAACCGCAGCCCTCAGGCGGGCGCCAAGGGAGGTGGCCTCAAGGTGGCTGTCGGAGAGTTGCTTCGCCAAAAGCTCCTGTAACCTCGGAGATGAAGACTCGACAACCCATCCAACTTCAGCTCCCTTTTTGGTCTTTTGGCTTGGTGGTGGGGTGGGGAGGGGGGTGAATGCTCCAAAGCAACCAAGGTTTTTAGAGACTCAGACCCAAGGGCTTCAGGGATCCGAATGGACGCGGGTTCCGAGAATTCGGAGTTGGACACATCACATCCGCCTGCAGAGCGCTGCGTTCCCAGCGGGCATTTGCATTGGGACTTATGTCCAACCATGTTTGATGTGGGTGTGTCTTTCTTGCCCCCCCCCAACAATACATGCTTCGGTGTTCCTTTTGGTTTCTCTTTAAACAAAAAGACACACATGTGCTTCAAATGGGTGGTTTTTCCTTTGGTGCTCCTTCAACAACCCCCAAACAGGTCTTGAGTTCCCCCCCCCAAAAAAATACGCCAAACAAAAAAACACTCACCCTGGCGATGTCACACTTCGATTTCGTTGCCTGGGCCTCCGCGCACTTCGGCCAGCACCCCTGAGCTGGGCCCCGCCTCGAAGCCCTCTGAGGCCAGCCGCAGCTGCCTCGAGGGATCAGCTTGGGGGAATGGCATGAAAATGAGCAGCCAGCACGTCATTCATGAAACATGACAAGATATGATAAGACTAGTTCTTGAACTTCTTGAAGTTCTTGCAGCTCTTGAAGTTGCGAACTAAATTCTGAACCAATTGCACCCAGAAGGGTTCCTAGCATGGAAACTGCCAAACTGCCCACAATTGTGCAACTCTTTCCGCCTGGCACCTCTCAGGCGCTCGTGCACACCAGCGAGACGTCACTACCAACCGGACACGAGAACACCATCGGGACACCTAGAGATATCAAAACAACTGCAGAGCACCACATCAGCGGCATTCAGCGGCACACCGCGACACACAAGCAAAACACTCTTTCGGGACACCACCAAAGTGGCGAACACCTCAGAAATGGCCGGCACACCCATCAAGACACTGGGACACAGAGGCCCCAGCAGGCACTGTGACACTACGGACGCCACCAAAACACACTCGTCCCCCATTTGGTCCAAAATCAAGCCCGCGTACTTTCCGGGCACGCTGGTGGGGAAATAAACATGGATCATACGTAGGGCTCGGAAATATGTACACAAGCAAATCCCAATAATATAATCATGCTTGGTCTCATTTGACAAAACTGCAATTTGAGGTTCAGAAGACCTCAAGCGAAGCGGGATGATAAAATGATTGTCAAATGGTGCCCGAACCTCCGAACCCACATGTCGGGAATTGCCCGATATCGAAAGCAACTCGATTTCCGTCGCTCGCCCTGGTCCGGCCTCGAGTCAACATGGATTTGGAGTGCCCCACAACGGGTAGGTCATTCTTTGGTATCCCCTCGAAAGGACAACCCACTCGGCACCATCCAAAAAAGAATGGGCCAAACAATCATGCATTGCCTTACTGACCCCAAAGTAATCTTACCTTCGAATGGCAAGCACAAGGCGATGTTTGACTGACTGGAATAAGGGTAACATATACCCTTTGTCCAACTCTTGGATGCTGACAATCCGAGGGTCGGAAGATGCCACTCCTCTTCAAAAGTGACCGTGTTCACGGGACAAGGACCCTTTTCCAAAGAGAGCGTCCTTTCATGGGGGGTGGGTTTTTAAAAGCATGAAATTTACCAATTTCAGCCTCAAATGTGAGAACTGTTCGCATTTGGGCAGACTGAGCTTCAGACGTATGCAGGCAATGCGCTTTTATTGCTATGGACCGCTATGGACCTTGTATGTTGTGCCCAAAACTGCTTGTCTATTGCAAGCATACACTACCATACAGTATTGAAGACAATGCCATTCACTTCTTGAGGTGGCAGGCTTCTTCATGGCGGGCTTCTTGGTGCAACCGTATGCCTTGGTGGTCCGCTTTGCCTTCTTACCATACTTGTTCAAGTAGGTAGCCTTCTTGCGATCGACGGCCTTGTTGCGCATCTTGGAGTAGAGCAAGACCTTGAAGCGATGCCGAAGGGGGCGAGCCTCGTTGAGAATCCGGGCGTAGTTCCGGAACCAAGCAAACACCTGCTCGCAAGCAGACGTGTTGGTGTTCCGGAATCGGGTTGCGAGGCGCTTCACGAAGAGTGGGTTGCATTTGCATGTCTTCTTGTGCCCCTGCGCGTGAAATTTGTCGACCGACCAATACTTGACTTGCTTGCAGATGGATGTAGAAGACAGGGAAGGAGTAAAGCTGCACGCCCGGTCCAAAATGAAGCCATTCACCTTGGGGTAGTGGGGCAAGGCCTTGACCAAGGAGCGCTCGACCACAAGGTTGTTCTCAGGCTTCACCATGCTCTCCACACTCACGATGCGCAAGTCCCGCGGGTTCACCAACATGAACCACCCATGTCCGAACGGCTTGCATTTCCCATCTTTGCGGTTTTTTTTTGAGCATGGGCACTTGAGGATCCACACTTGAGGTGCACCTTTGAGTGGCCGTCCCCCACCAGCTCCGTGACACCACCAGCTTTGCGCGGCGGGAAGACCTGTGAGTGCAAGTGGTTGTCGTAGGCTGCCACTGTCTCTGAGAAAAGCTCGTCCCCAATGAAGATCTGATGGTGCAAGCCCAGGGGCTCCAGCTTGCGCAAAGCCAGCCAGTACATCAACGCGTTGCCATGCATCTCATGAAACTTGTACTCCTCATCGAACTCATGGTCACCATTAGCCACAAAGACACTGTTGTACGCATCCTCAACAGCCCTATAGGACACGAAAGCTCTGAACTCAAGCGCCGCATGGTACTCCAGGTACTTGATGCTGAAGCCCTTCTTGTTGTTGATGAAGAGTACGTCAGACATGGTGGCCTGCGTGGCGGTGTTCCGCTTGTGCCCGCCTTCCACGACGAAGTTGGGGCCAAAGGTTGCGCGGCAATCGTAGCCATTGCAAAGCATGGTGCGGACAGTGGTCTCTACAGGCCCAGACAAAGTGTACACCGTGGCACTGATGTCATGACCTTTCGACATGGATCTGTGCCCGCAATGGCATGCCTTCGTGGGAGTGACATAGACAGACTTAGACAAGACACCTACACCTGCACCACCCACTACGTTGTGCTGGATGCAGCGCCCGCTGCTGGCTTGCAGTCGATAGAACCTGTAGCGCTGGCTTTGGAGCATAGAGGCCAAGTAGCTCAACTGCTTTGTAGGGCTACCATCAAGAACTTTGACATAGCCCTCACGCAGGATGAGCGCAAAGAAGTGCTTCTCGATCCCGTCATGCACGACGTACTTGCCATCGAGCAATCTTGAAGAAGAAGCGCACTCATGCATGTTGATCCCGAAAGGCTTCAAGAGGTCGTTCCCAAAGGACACGGGCAGAGGGCCATCGCACTCGCATGGAACCGGGACCCCCAGATTGCGCGAAGAGACAACCAAGCAGACATCTTTGAAGACGCAGTCCGTGGTTCCACCATACACATCATCGTCGGGGGCTTCGCCAACTTCTGGCACGAAGGCCGGGTCCTGCGTCTGCTCGGCCTCGTCTTGATTCGGCTGAGGCCTGCGAGGGGGTGTAAGTCTCAATGGCAAGCTCCCGCAGTCCCCTGAGCTGGCAACGGAACATCCCTGGTGGAAACTCCTGCTTGACGCGCACCGGAGAAGACGGAGCTGGTGCAGCTGAAAGCGCAGGCGCCGGCAAAGCTCCATCAGCTCGCAAAAGCGCATCCAACATAGGTGTCTCGGACTGCTCAGGGCGGGCATGGGCAGGTCGAGCAGCTGGCATCTCCACCAAGTCGAACTTGCGGAAGGCCTCTTTCAGCCACTCACTCTCCCACAGCGCCCTGTCATCCATGTCAAGGGGGATGGGGCCGTCTCTTGAAGTTTGAAAAGGTGGGCTTGCAAGCGTACGTCAGGATGTCTTTCTGGAGCCAAGTCATGCGCTTCACCGGCACAGGCTGGGCAGATGGGGCGCGGTAGTAGATGTGAGACTTAGAGAAGACGATGAAGACCGCACGCTTCAAGATGGCCAGGGCGTCCGCCTCTGCGATGAACCCGATTGCAGGCAAAGTGGCGTGCGGGATGTTGTCCACCAACGTGTCCAGGATCACCCTGAGCTGGTGCATGACGAACTTGGCTGCAGTCCAGCGCTCCTTAAGGATGGTCTCAGTGTCCCCCACATCAGAAAAGGCTTTCTTCTTCTTGATTGGCTCACTGCCAATCTCGCCATCGTCGTAGAGCGCCGGGATGCTTTTGTCGAAGTGGACCCCGCGGAAAAAGTCAAAGTCACTCGCTGAGCGGAAGGTGCCGGCAACGGGAAAACATCATGGCAATGATGCGTCCCAGGGGCGTCTTGCCCTTCCCGGGTTCGCCCAGCAGCCACAGAGAGTGATCTCGCAAGTACGGGACGATCGTCTCGATGACTTCAAGCACAAGGGGCTCCACCGCATCGATCGTGATGTCATACCTCGTGCTCAAAGTTGCCATGCAGCCATCGTTGGCGAGACTGTCCAGGGCCCTCTGCACCTGTCAACATCCCAAATGATGTCAAAGAAGTGCTTGACAGAGGTGGAGGCTGGGTTCAGCTCCTTCAATGGCAACGATACCGGAGTGACGCCACTGACCGGCACTGGACCCACGGGGACATGGTTGGGCAAATCCCGCAGGATGAGGTGGTCTGTTGCCTCGATAGTGATGGCGAGAGTGATGTCCTCACCGTGCATCATAGTGATGAGGCAAGTGGACGAAGAGAAGGACACAGAGATACTGGTTTGAGCTTCAGATTGCTTTTGACAGGCCTGGTGCGTAGTTGAGAAACAAAAGTGTAAAAAACCTCGAGTTTTCCAAAAAACAAAAAACAAAAAACAAAATTTCAGACCCTATGTATCCATGCTGGCTGAGTTAGGGTCTGAAATTTTGTTTTTTGGAAAACTCAAGGTTTTTTTGGATTTTCTGGAAAAGTGTAAAAAAACCTCGAGTTTTCAAAAAAAAATCAGACCCTATGTATCCATACTGGCTGAGTTAGGGTCTGAAATTTTGTGTTCTTTTTTGTTTTTTTGGAAAACTCGAGGTTTTTTTGGATTTTCTTGAAGCATCAAAGAAACATACCCCCAAAACTGCTGAATCCCTGTGTTTCAAAAATCCACCCCCCATGAGGGGCCCTTCTGTTTCCAAACCTCTCTGACGCTTGCCCACGTTTGCCCCACCTCAAAGATCTGCACTCGAAGTGGTGCGCCACGAAGTGGGTGGCTTGACATAACTTGGAGCCTCAAGCAAACGGTCAATGAGCTTGAGCATCTTGACATGGAATCAACTCAGAACCTTTTTGTTGGGGCCCTTGTTTAGGCTCCGAGTTCATTTGCAGCGGGAATGCACACCAAGGCGTGCAAACGTGGATGCAAAGTGGATGCAAAGTGGATGCAAACGACGTGGAGGTGAATGCTGCCAAGGTGCAATACCACACGCACTTGCATTTGGAGCAGCTGAAGTTCTTCCCTGGCCAATGGATCTCGAGCACAAGACAACCAATCACAGTGGCAGAGCTGGAGCCGATTCGGAGCCCCGTTTTGGATCGGAAACGTGAGAGCAACTGACTAGATGCCCCGGATCAAAGAAACATTGGAAGGCGCCTACAGCCTCCACACGACGAGTGCAGAAGACAGCGTTGCTGCACCGCTTCTCCTGGTGGAAGCTTAGCTTATCGACGGAAAGCGGCTTCGAACTCGATCTTATCCTGGATCGCCAGCGGCCATTTTTCCCAACGACGGTGACTGCTTGTAGGGTAAAGTGTCTGGAACAAAACGGCAACTTGGTCATCCAGGATTGATCTTTTCCGAGTAACATCTTTCTTGGTGGCACCGTGCAAGTGTCCTCTGCATCCCATGAGAGGGATGGATGCCCGCCGCCGAGCTGGCGAGACAGCGAAGTTTCTCGATGGAAGTCTCTTGCGAGAAACCCTCAAGCATCACTCAAGGAATTGACTATTTTATCAAAACCCTCAAGGAGCCTAGAGTTGTTCTGTGCTCTATGTGTGTCAACAATAGGGTAACAGGGTAACCTTACAATGGGTTGCCCTGGAAAATTCAGAAACGACCAAAGCTGCGGTACACATCCTGTGGCTTTAACCTTTGAGCAGGCCCCGACCTTGCGGAGGCGCAGCACTCGTGGGCCCAAAGCACGCGCCTGGCGCAAAGAAAGCCAAGCCCAGTTGCGCCATGGAGCACCAGGAAGCCATTCTGGGGAGTTGGGGAGTCCGAGTCCTAACACAACACACTACCATATTATCAGAACTCCACAAAGATCCCATGTCCCACTTGCAATCATTCCCCACTTCCGAAAATAGACCATGGGAGAAAATCCAAGTCCCAACAGAATATGAGGAAGACCCTTCGTCTTGCAAACGTAAAGGGCTTCATTTGTTGGCTAACCCAAGGTAAACTTGAATCCAGAGATTGCCCTTTTGATTGAATCAACCCCCGGGTGTCCACCTTGTCAACAAACGGGACTCCCCGTATTCCTCGCACTTTCAGGGGGCCTTCTTCTCATCGTCCGGGGGCTCGGAGTGCCGCGTAATGAGTGCCGCCACGTCTTGGGCACACCTGACATTGGAAAGCTCAAGGCGTGTCAAATGGCGAGCCTCTTCGCACCTCGTTGACAAGCGCAAAATTCAAGGTTCCCTCAAAAGGAAACTCACCTTCAATTGGAACGTGTGCTCCCAAAATGGGTCTATGTTGCCAACCTTCCCTGCCAAGCTGCAGCGTGTCTCCCGCCGCTGACTCCAGGGTGCGACTCTCGTGGACTGAAACCTAAGGCTGTGTCGCTCACGGAAGGCGATGTAGCCAAATGAGCCATAATCAAAGCCTGATATTCATATGGTTTACCTAGAATTCCCCAGAACCATTTCAGTAAAGTCGGCCGCACCGATTTATGGTTGTCCCTTACTAGCCTTCTACCCGGGCTTTGATTGTGGCTTGAAACAGCACCTGCCCGCCGACTTCGGATAGACCTCAACAAATTCCCAATCGAAGCGATTGAACCCCATGGACGCGGGGGTTCGCACTGCCCAAAGCAACGAGGCTGATTCAGCTTGATTCCATGGGCTGGGATCTGTGGGATGATCACTGCTGGGCTTCCATGTCATGGGCAAGGCGCTGACTTCGTGCCGCCCAGTGCTGCTTCGGAGAACTGCGCATCATCTCCAGGCCTTCGAGACACAGTCTGAGGGTTCCAATTTTGGATCCCATCCTTTTCCCTGTCAAAGCTGAGACACGCCCATATGACTATGTGACATGTGTTGGGGGACTCATTTACCCCCCCAAAAAGTCCCCTCAAAAATGAGGCAATATGGGCCATATGGGGCATGTGCCATTTCGCGACCCTTGGGCGACCCTTCGCTTTCAGCAAAGGCGCCAGCCAGTGGAAACTGCGAGCACCGAGTCCCAGGGAAGGAAGTTGCGGCCTGGGCTCAACTTCCGAGTGCCGCCGGCTTTGGTTTCCGCCCAGCAACGGGGGACCCTTTCCGCCGGGTTCCAAGTCTTGGAGCTCATGGAAATTCACCGCCCCATGGGCAACCTCATGCAACTTCCAGATTGAACACGCCGGAAAGGTCACCCCAATGGGGAAATACGAGGGCCCTACACCCAGGACCCCTACCCACTCAGGTCTGGGCCAAAGACTTTTTAACAACCTACTTTGGTTTTCCTTTGAAGTAGGGCAAAGGCTGGCTTCTTAAGCATATTTCGCCCACTCGAAAAGGGACCTGGCATCCAGTGCCCTTGGAGCGGGGAACCCTGGACCCAACCTGTCATGAGAAAACATCCACGCATCCCAAGTGGCATAAAACCCGATCTTAAGGACCTTTCCCTTTCCGAAGCGTCCGAAGCATCCGAAGCATAAGCCGCGCCGCGCGCTGGGCGCAGGTTGGCGGCGCCCAGGTAGGTGAGCCCCAGCTCCGCGAGCAGCGGCTCGCTGCGGAAGGCCATGCCCAGCAGACACTGCAGCTGCACACAGCTGGCCTCACCAAAAGGTGCTGCGGTGCTTGCGGGGTACCCAATTTCTTCGAAAATAAATGGGGTACCTCAATAAATGGTGAGTTTCCTGGTGGTCTCCTTTAAAACCAACAACGGCTCCTTCCAAGAAGACACTCCCGCTAAACGTCTTAGAATATAGGTACCCTCAGGCCTGTTTTGAAGCAAAAAGGGCTTCCAGGACCCCTCGGTCAGGTTCCATGTTCGTGGACAGGGCACTTCAAAACAATGGTTGAGTTTCCGCTGGGTCTCCCTTTAACAACCAAAACAAGGGCTCCCTCCAAACTGCCGCTGTTAGGAAGTGGTTAAAGCAGTTCTAACTTATGAACTATCACCCTGGTGGTTAGTAGTCAAGGTTAACCTGTCCGCATTTCGGAGGGGCCCCAAAGAACTTGGGTACTTCGATGGTCAGTTGTGGTTGCAACCTAAGCTAACATGGCTATAAAACAGTATTCTGCTCGCGCATGGCTAAACCTGGTTGTTGTGACTAGGCACATTGCATCCCGCGGATGGTGCTAGATATGAGTCTGTTGTATAAGGGGCGAAATAGCTTTCTCCGCGTTGCAATTGTCTAGGCGCGGGGCAGAAAGCTTCTGGGCTTGCCAGGCCGGATGTCCCCAAACTTCAGGCGTTGAAACCTTTTGCGTATGGTTGCTTCGAGTGTCAGAAATACATGGTTGGAATAGAAACCAGAAACTCGGGCGGGTTTACCCTGCAACCAGTAATCCGGACAATAGAAAAAGGGAACCCATGGAAAGCCCTTCATGCGTATCGATGTGACGCTGAGGAAAGGGGAATGGATGCCAAAATGGGAGTTGCCTTCTTTCCAAGCTGCAAAGTGATTGTCGTGTTTGCTCAAACCGCTCGAAAACCCTTTTGTTGCAAACCGCTCCAACACCCTTTTCTTCTTCCCAAAATTGTGAAAGGAGTCTGTGTTGAGTTCTACCATGGCGAGAAAGGCTAATGAACACAAAAGCTTCGTTACAATCCACACGCCAGGGAGAAGAACCCTTACTAAACTCTCAGTTGAGTCTTAATCAGTCCTCCCATCCACGATCCAATCCTGATTGAATGCCGAGGAAAGCTTAAGAGCGTCCGTGGGAGGCGAGCTTGATGCGACAAGAGATGTGCCAATCCAAGCTTGACCCCAGACCTCCACCTGCCCATTGTCGGGGGTGTCCAAGTCCTTTGGTTGAACCACCCTCACCAAAGCGCCGGAGTTCACACCGCAACCCAAACGCGCCACTCGAGTCGCGCCTTGCTGGTGAGACTCTCCCGCGCGAGGTGCTCAAAGAACTTGCTCTCCTCATGGCAGCCGCAGGACCCGTTGCCAGGGGTGCATTTTGTTAAGGGTGCCCTTTTCGGGGTGATTTAGAGGAAACCCAAAAGGAAAACCGAAGCCATGTTGAGGGGTCCCTAAAAACAGATGTACCGGCGGTACCGGTCTCAAATCTGACTGGTGCGGGCTTGAACCAATTTCCTCTAGGTGAGAGGCTAGAAAATTTACTGCCTTGCCTTTGGCCGGAACCTATCCGAAGGGTACCAGTTTTCCATCCAAGGAAGGCACAATGTTTTTGGGCCGGCTTTTTTCGGCGCGAGCCCATCCTTTTGTGGGGTCCGATCTGGGTTGGCACACTGCTTTTGGGTTCGGATGGTCATGGCTCACTTCAGTGTGGGTTGCATAGAAATTCCCATAGCCACGACCATGGCCACCAACTTGAGTGTCCCTGGGCGACCGCCCCCTGACAGCTTCATGAGCGGCTTGAATTTGCTTAACACGCGAACTTGGAGCCTGGGAATATGGCAAGCAAGAGCTGCATCGACCCTTCTAAAAGGCTTTGTGCTGGTTCCCCTGTTGAGAAGACCGCCCTCCTTAACGTGAGGGAAACAAAGGGCCACAACCACCTAACAAAGAGTCTCATAGATGTGAGGTATGAGTCGCTTTGCAGATCGTTTTTGACACTGGCTAATCGAACATTTCCTATGAGTGGCAAAGTGTCGAGGGATGCTCTACATTGAATCCTTAGTCCTTCTGCCCCTGTTTGACGTGTTGTATGCCTTTGTTTGGGGGGTCCCTTGATTCAGTCTTTGGGCGGGCGAACAGGGCAGACTCAGAGCCCTTTAGAGTCCTTTGCGTGACGCCTTCAAACTTCACCAGTGGCTGCAAGGAAAACCAAAAACAAACGCATTGACCAGTTGGAGACCATCCAACAGCAATTCGTGCCTTAGTTTGACGTTTGCTTGGGGTGATATGTCGGACTCAAAATCATGGCACTGAATACCATCGGAATTTGATATAAACAGGGGACACGCCAGGCTGATACAACTTCAGGACATCCGCAGCGTTATTGAGAGACCCCTGTGCCAGGGTGCAGAAGTGTACGCCGGAAATGCCACCCGAGGCCGGGCGGGTTCATTGACCACCTAGGCATCATGACTAACTTAACAGCAGTCTGAAAAACAAAACAGAAAAACAACACATTTTGCTTTCTTGCTTTTCCCGCAAAATGGGAAGGGTGCAACTGGTGCGGCTGAGGCTCCTCCCTGATGGGCCGGTGCATACGCGCTGACAGGGTCAAATGGAGACGCTGGTCTAGGCCTGGGTTTTGCGACACGAGGAATCGGAGCCCAAGCGCCCCGCGCGCCTTTGGCTGCCAGGATCCCAGGCACCTCCGTCCTGCCGGCAAAGAATGCGCCAACACCCAAAGGTTCGCAAAGCATCCGCAATCTTCAGGCACTCTCACACTGTCCATCAGTTGAACTCTCGCTCCTTGGTGTCAGCTTTGGACTCTCAGCTGCACCTGCGCAATTCACTCGGGCAAGGCGAAACAAATCCAGGCCATTTTGGCAGGGCCTGGGCGCTTGGCCAATCCATTGGCGGCCAGCACAGCCCGGGGCCGCGCCGGAGCCTTCCGAGTTCCAACGCAAACCACTTGGAGTGTGTCCTTCTGATTTCCGAAGAAAACAAAAAAAAAAGGGGACCCTCAAATAACCTGGAAAAAAGGGGGACACACCCACTTGCACTGCTGGCAACTGGCCAAGACTAAGCTCCTTGCGGCTCGCCAAGTGCCTGCCAACTGCTTGGCATCGCGGAAGACATCCGGCGGGATGAACCTATCCGGATGGATCAAAGCACTTCCGGATCCAAACCGAAATATGACACCTGTAGCGGAGGCTTATACACCCCTGCATTCGCAGAGTCACGAACTTGATGGGAATCTTTTTGGGAGACTGACACCCATGGTAACAAGCGTGTTACGATGTACATGCCTCTCATAGCGGGCGAAGATGTCCAAACCAGCAGTGCAAAACACCAGAAAAATCCAAAGAAAACAAATCCTGAGGGTTCTTTCCCTCCCCAAGCGGGCTGACCTGCGGGTTGGTCCAGGGCTCCGGTGCAAAATCCAAGAACCACTTGAGTCCGGAACACACTGCTTCGCCAAGGCAAGTGTCACCCATCCTTATGAACCTTCATGAGTTTGACGTCACATTTGAAAGGAACCAACATGAGAACGGAACTTCTACAAATCTGTGAAAGAAGGCCACAAAGACGAACCCAATGTGAATCTAATGCCGAAACTGACGTAGCTATCGGCAGAGGGCTGGAAGCGTCCCAAAACTGTCAGGCTGTAGTTCCCTTATGACATCTCCCCTCGTCTCACTTGGCCTGGTCGGTCGCTTAAACTCGCATGGCCTAGACTCAACACGTGTCTTTAATCGCCCCCCCCATGCTGGTTCCTAAAGTTGTTTGTGCGAGCAGGCTTGTGTGTGTGTGCGCGCGAAACATCATCAGTGCCGTTCAGTGTGCCATTGAACTGGATATAAGCAAACAAAAGCAAGCTGATATGCGAGCAGCCAGTCAATGCGCAAGCTGAGTTTCAACTGTGCAACCCGAAGTAAACCCAAAAGCCAGAGTGCCAACGCTTTGAAACGCCAAGTGCAACCCAAAGTGAAACACTGGAACCAATGCGCCAGGCAAAGTGCAAGAGTAGGAACCAATATGAAGTCAATGTGCAATCCAAGATGACACCAAAGCGAAGGCAAAAGAACGAACAAACAGCAACGTGGAACCAAATTAAACCACTTGGCAGTCACGACGAACACAATGCGCAATCCAACATGAAATCGGGGGCTAAACCCAAAGAGAAAGCCATGCAGCTCAGAAAAACCACATGCTGCAAACTAATATAAAGCCAATATGAAGATACTCTTCTGCAGTCAAAATGCAAACAGTATGTAAACAACGTGGCTCGAAATCAATGCGAGCTCGTTAGAATTCATGTGCACTCCAAAGATGGAATCCGAAACAGAACCCAGTCTGCGACTCCTACAACATATCGTCAAAGAAGACGCCGTGAGTCCAATTTGTGTTGCGCCAAGGCGCTTGCCGGTGGTTGCCGCCATTCCGTTTGTGCCGCTCTGCGCGGCTGCCCGGGCACTCTGTGGGTTCCACTCGCTGGCCACGCGCTGGTCCAAACGCTTCAAGAAAACCTCCTGAAATCCAAAGCCGTCCGGGTGTGTGTCAGCGGGGTCACCCCAAATCGGTTTTCGTTTAGTTTCTCCTAAACCCTGCCTGGGGTTTTACTAGAACTTTCTTGGCCTGCAACATCCCCGGCAATATTAGCTCTGATTTGGTTGCAGCTGGGAGTTGTTCGGGTGGGGTTGTGGGCTGGCTTAGATGTTAATGGCCGGTCTTGCATTTCTGGGGTTGCCTTTGGAGTGTGGCTGGATTAACCTAAAGTGGCCTGAATTGTCCACAATGGTTTCAAGACTACTCCCCCAGCCCGTCCTCACAATGCCTGGTTTGGATGTAACCTCGGCAATTGTCAATGCCGAACAAACAAAAGCCTTACCACGCGGGAAAAGCAAAACAACCGGAAAATGCTTGACTGTGGCCGAGTCACTGTGGGGCACCTGCTTCAACAAGGTGTCAAACCAGGTGGAGAGTCCTTGGAGCGAGTTCCATGTGCCGAGCCCAAAGATGCAGTGTCCCTCCGGTCCGTTCCAGAACCGGACCCGCCATTTTGAATCCGCTTTTTGGTGGATTCTGCAAGTGAGTGCAAAGGGTGCTGGTTTCAGATTCGCTGGTGAGTGCAAGGCTCGTTGGCCCTGACTGCGCGGCAAATACCCGTGATTGACAACTGATTTTGGCCAGGGTCCCCAGGCGTTGCTTTGCTCATAGAAACCAACAAGCCCTTGCAGGGGGTTCCTTGAGGTTGAGGTGAATTTGAGGGTCACCCGGACATCGGTGAGTCGTGTTCGCTGCCGGAAAATGACACCTGCGACGCCAGAAATCGGCCGGTTCTTTGAAGTGCACGGAAGTGGGACGGGCCTCATACAACTATGTTCCTAGTTTTGAAACACGTGGCCATGTTCCGGCGCAGTGGCATGAGATGTTGACGAGGTGTCACCCAACTCGGTTCGTGCAATATGATTCTTGTCTTTGGAGGAAACCCAGTAGTCTATTTGCCTCCAACCATTGGCCATGTCCTCCAAAAACAATCAACAGCAAAAATTGAAAGCCAACAAACAAACAACCAAACACATCAAACAAACAAACACATCAAACAAACGAACAACCAACCAAACAAACAAATCAACCGTCAAACCAAAAGACCACCAGCCTCGCGCCATCGCTCGGTGAGAACACCTTCCGCCTTCCGAGGCGCCCAGTAGGCCCACGTCCTCACAGAGCAGCTTGGGGGCGTCGATGGCGTCGAAGGTGGCGCCCCGGAAACAGGCAGCCTCAGGGCTGCAACTGGCTGCAACACCTCCCGAAAGAAAGGGGGGCCCAAGGAAAACCACAACCAGAGAAGCCCCGGGAACAAAAAAGGGAGTGACATGCTCAAATGGTTGGCCGAACCTCTCTATCCGCTCTGGGTTCCTTCTGCGGATGGGAGGCTATTTTAGAATCTTGCTCTTGCTCTGTCTGTGGCTCGAGTTCTGTTGGCGCACTGTTTTTTGCACTTCTTTTTGTGGGAGGTGAAAGGTGTCCGAGGAAGCCTGAAACCCAAACAAAAAGCTCCTGCAAACCTTGGGTTCCCCAAAAGCTCCGGATACCTCGCAAGATCTCGCAAGGCTCCTTGCGGCTACAGGAAGATTCCTGGCCTTGAGCACGTGCCATGGTCGCCCCGCATAGGCGAAAATGCGGAGACGTAGAGGCGCACAATCCTGGCAGACGCAAGGCTCAGGCAACTTGCAAGAAAAAGAAGAAAAACAACGACGTGAAATGAGCAGGTTCCCCGGCTTTGGGAAATTCAGTGAGTCCCCCAGTTCCACACCGAAATGGAGTGTAGACTATTCTAACAACTTTACAGGGAGCCTCACATGGGGTACGTTCAAAGTGTGTTCACACAAAACAACAAAGGCCTCCCCGGCATATGGAGGGAGCTTTCCAAGGCCAAGTGCAAATGGGGCCAGGTCAGGTCCTTCAAATGATCGGGGCCCGTGCGCTGCCCTTCACATCAGGTCATTGTGTGTCCAAACAAATATGAGAACCCTGTTTTGCGTGGGCCCTTCCTTACATTGGCGCGAATCAGCACACGCAACGCTCCAATGAAATCGGATCTTTGCCAGAACATCCTTCACCAAGAAGTGCTTCATCTGTTCATCCACAAGTGTCCAAAATAATTATTATAACCTCCAAGCTCAGGACAATTCAACACCCAGCGACTGTTCTGTAGCTTGCCGTATGTGTACGGGCAGAATTGTTAAGGTATGCGTTTTGCCAGCCGTCGTTCTTTGTTTCTCCAAATTATCATTATCACCATCGCTGGTAAGCTGTTAGATTCTGTTGCTTCTCGCATACGCATTAGATTTGGGTGTCTCTTCTTAGGCCCCCGCCAAAAAAAACAAGAATGGGCTTTCCTTTTGGCTTCCCTTGAAGCCAACCCTAAGGGTACCGAGGTTCTTGGGCAGATTAACCGGCGCGCAAGGCGCCTCCGGCGCAGGCTTCCAGGTGGCGGTCCCCGTCTCTGCCTGGCCATAGGCCGCCGCGTTGCGGGCGGCCTGGCCCCACCAGTCGCCCTGGCGGCTGCTCGTTGCGGAGTGGGAAGAACTGGGCCACAGAAAGCGGACCAAACGGAAAAAAGCTTTGAGGGACGACCCCGTTTGATTCGGGCTTACCGGAAAACACACACGTGTCCCATTTTGATGGAAGCGGAAAACCAGATAAAGGCTCCAAACCAACCCGAAAAGTGGTATACAGTCATATGAGTCATATGTCCCCTTCATTCCCCTTCCTTTCTCCAACTTGGACTCCTGTTTTCTTTGCGGGTCATAGACGTTCAACGCCAAGTGAAACTTGCGGAAATGGGACCAGACGTTCTTTGTCCAAACCTGAAACCCTGAAACGGCATGCTTGACCTCGGATTCCACGTCCGTTCGCGAGCCGGAAGAATGGCCTCCTTCTCCTTCATAGAAGCCAAGGTGACGTAGTCCCGCAGCTCCAGCTCGAGGCTCAAGTCCCTGCGTCTCCGCTTCAGCTCCTGGAGGCATTCAACTGATTTAGTCAGCTGAGCCTCTGGATTTCTCAGAGGTTTACTTTCAGGGGGCCGACCAAGGCTCTAAGGGTTCCTGAATCTTCGCCTTGCAAAGACAGCACCTTTTGTGAACCGTTCAACGTGAGAGCCTCAAATACTCTGCCGAAATGTGGGTGGCTGAAAACAAGTCGGTGCCTTTGGCTTCACATTGTATGGCCCTCCCGATCGTTTTACAGGGGTTCTAACAGGGGTGCTTCTGAAAATGAGTGGGGGCAATCCCCTTTATCCTTAGGTACTTCGGCTCGCCCCTTACATGGGGCTGATCCTTCCAGCCAATTCTGATAGGGGTCTACTTGTGGTTTGCAGATTCTCAGGAAAAAAGGAAGTAATAGCCCTTCATGCTCGGCTTTTCAACTTCCCTGCATTATTGCGGTTGGATTAGTGGCTTGCAGGTTAGAGGGTGCGTTCTCCAGTCGTTTCTCCTTCGAAGGACCTCAAACTCGCGATGCAAGACATCAGTTTGGAGCACAGAATTGCATGTGTAAGGGGGGGATTGTGTGCTTGCGTATTCCGACAAAATGGACTCCAAGTGAACTTTCAGAGGCTCTCCCCCAATAAAATCTGTGCGGGTGTGTTTTTGGAGGATACCCTTGTTTAGGTTGAACTTGGGAAATCAAAGGGAAAACTGAATCCATCTTGGCTTCGCGTCCCATTTCGACATCCAGCTGTTCAACGCACCTCGAGCTCCCCCACGATGTCCGTTTTCGCCAACTCGATGGTGCGCGCCTCGACAGCGAGATCCCGAATTCTGGGTGCTTCTAAAAATTGGATTCGGTCCCCTACAATGGATGGTGTCCTTCTGGCGTCCCTTAACATACCAACCAAATCGGGGTTCATTTTGAGAAACTCTCTCCGAAAACCCACATCGCACTTTGGCTCGCACCCCAAGATCTTAGTTGAGCGTTTGGCAACTCCTACCTTCGCATCGTTAAATGGAAAAAGCAGAAAACCCTTTCTCAGTTGGCCAGCTGCTGAATTTCAGCTCACTTCTGGAATCCTACTCCATGATTGGCCTCGCTTCAGCCCTTCTGGTCCTTCCCCAAACCTCTGAAACTAACTCGCAAAATCATCCCCCAGTCCAGCCCCACACCCATTTCTCTCCATCCCTTCCCCATCCCTTTTCATAATTGACCACCGGCGTGCTACCGGCCTTCCTTCTTCCTTCCCCTCCCCCCACCCAAAGTTCCGCCTCCTCCTCCTCTTCTTCCACGCGCTTCCGCAGCTGGTCCGACACCTAGCGCAAACATCGAATCTCCCATCCCCCTTATGGCGACAACCTTGGCCATTCGCTGAAAATGCCAGTTCCCCAAATTGGCGCTTGCCCTTTTTCCTAATCTACACCGTTCTAAACCAAAAACCAGTTTTCCCCCATCAAATCTGCGAAAGGGTTTGAAACAGAGTTTCGGGATGGATAAAACAGGCCCTAACCCACCAACAAGAAGAGACCACCTTATCCCCCCCGGTCCCAAGGGCAAAGCGGTTGCCCTCGGCCGGCACAAACACGAACCAAAACAGGGTGCCAGTTGTAACAAGATAAAGAAGCCCAGCAGGGGCAGAGACAACCGAAAGCAAGCACAAAGCAGCAAACCAAGCAGGCAAACAAAGCAGCCCAAACCCAAGTCCTGACCAATCACCAGCAACACCAACACCAACCAGGGGAGGGCCGCGGCACCTTTTGTCGCGGAGCTCGAGGTCGCCGTGTTGGGGCACCGACGCAATTGCAAGCGGGTTCGCCGGAACGAAAAGCTTGAGCCAAATGGCGCATTGGCCATGGCAATAATCAAACGTGCTATGATAAACGTACATGCCCCCAAAAACACCCCCCTCGCCTGTACAAAGAGAGGAAGTGAATTTGGAAGGGCGCATTGGCCATGTTGAAGTTGAAAAGCAAAAAACAAGAAAACAGAGCCGATTAGGCTACCAGGGTTCGCGGCCCCATACCCGGGCACTCATTGGTGCCCGGATCCCGCCACCACCCCGAATTACGGGTATGGGGCGGATTCGCGCCGGTAGCCAAATCAAACAAGAGAAAGCAAAAAGAAACAGAAACAAAGATTCAACTCCAGAATGGCAGGCATGTAATAAAAATACATTTGCACTGCAACCACATCGAACCGTAAGGTTCGAGTGGATTTATTTCCTGAATTCATGATTTAGGCGCATTGGCCCACTGGTTGAAACGTGGTGCTTCGACCACAAGACCACGGTCTTTAAATTAGCACCGTCTAGGCGCGCGATCACGCAAAGACCTTCGGTAGGAACACCACCAGCTGCAATCAGCGGTTCAGGTCCGAATAGGACCTCACCGGCAGCGGTGCAGCGCATCCATGATCCTCACCACAGCACCTTGATGAGCTCCATCACCAGCAGCAGCAGCGGTGCCGGAGAAAGCAGATCACCAGCGGCCATAGACGTCGCCGAGGATGACTTCCTTGCTGCGGCGACATACACCTGACAGGTAATCGCTGCCTGCGCGAATAGCGCACAGCTGCGCATGCAGTTGAATTCCGAAATGGCGAATAGCCCAAACACAGAAATACTACAAGGAGCATAGTCCATTATGTGAAGTCCGGAATGAAAGCACGCGCGCGTTGGCGCCGCCACGCAAAGGATGCAGACGAACATCAGGTATCACCGATGTCGTCCGCCGCCGTGCCGTCCCCTCCCCTTGTTGACGTTCCAGTCCCCAGGAGGAGGAGGCACGGTCTCGGCCAACTCATCATCCGCACCCCAGGTAGGGGTATGCGGCGAGTTCGGATTCTCGAACTCGCGGGGATCACCCTGCATGTGCGGCTGCCAACCCTGCGGCATTGCGCCAGGCCACATTTGCGGCATCATGCCAGCCATTGGCTGTTGCATGTACCCTCCCATTGGGAAAGCGGGGTACATCGGACTCGGGAAAGGGTAAGGAGCTGCCTGAGCACCCTTGTATCCCGACCCGCGAGCATCAGGCTGATACCCGCCAGTGGGAGTTCTCGATCTGGCGGATCCGCCACGACCGAACTGCCCTTGTTGGTAGCCGTATTGGCCACCCTTGCCTTTGTACTGATCACCTTTGTGACCCTTTCCTGGGAACTGGTCACCCTTGTGACCTCCGCCCTTGGGCCAGGATTGCGCAGGGGCTTTGCCCTTTTGCTGATCACCCTTTGACCTGGATTCAGGTCGCGGGGTAGCAGACCGCTGGTCTCCCCTAGGAGTGGCTGCCCGCCTGTGGTGCTTCCCAACCGGCGGGTCAGCAAAAACAATGGCGCATTGGCCGTCGCGCCGCGAAGCGGGGACCATGTCAACCTTGTTGTCTTCGACATAAATGTATGCCTCAGCATACTCAATTGGGGCCGTGATGGATCCACCACCGGCCCGCAAAGAGTCGATACTCCAATCAAGAACAGTGGAAGCATCGAAACTCGGATCTTCAGTATTGAAGTCCGTGAGGCGTCGCTCAGCCTGTACCAATGACATTATGATGTCCGCGCGTGAGGCGCCTAGGCCATACAGCGGAACCAAATACCCGTCCTCAATCCCGATGCGGTAGGCATCAAAGATATGCACAGAGAGGTAAAGGGCAAATGCTGAATTTAGACTGCCCTTTCTCGTCATATGACGACCCCATTGCGCCGCCTGTTGCGGGTGCTCGATCAAATATGCCAGACAGACATATTGTCGGGAATCGAGACGCCAGTGTTGCTCTCCTCGATGAGCAGCTGTTTCGCTACCCACCGCTCGAGAGCCTCATCACTCGCCCGCACACAAGCGTGAGTGTCCTTTGAGGTGACCTTTGCAACCTCCTGAAACGCAACTTGCACAATGTCCGCGTTGGGAACGTGCACAAGATGCGGCGCACAGCGCAAACCGGTGATCATACAGCTGACCACCTCGCGGATCGGGTTTACCGATGCCATGAGAGGGGCCCACGCGTCGGTCTCCCCCTCATACCAGCTGCTGGCGCGGACTGCCTTGAGTCCCTCTAGCCAGATGGGCTGTCCCTTCTTGACCAGAGAGCGGACGGTGCCTGGCACCCACTCACGATAGAAAATCGGCAGATGGCAACCATTGCATAGAATGGTGCCATACATGTTCAAGTGCGCGCACCGAGGGCACCAGTAGTCATGCATGGGAGCGTTGTCCCATGAAAATGACACCCCTCTCCGCGGTCCCTGAACGTTCATCTCACGGACCGCCCAGGGACGGATGTATATTACATCCCCTTCCTGGTGCAGATAGCATGCGCGCCAAAAGGGCGCATGTATCTCCTCCCGCACGGCGATCAAACCGCGTCGGGTTTTGTAGATGCCGGCAGCTTCCTCGATGGCCATCCACTTTAGGTCAACGGCCACAACGACATGGCGCTTGTCCATGTATTTGACGCGATCGTCAACATAAAATTCGCCCTCATTATTGGGGCTGGGCAACTTGAGGAGAGGCACCTTTGCGCCCTCCATCCCAATCATGATCTCCCCCCTGCAGACCTGCTCAGGTCGCATGGGAAAAACCGTGATGGCGAATTTGCCTGGCCTCCGGATGCACCTCGTTTTGAGGGCGGACCGATACTCGGCCATCGTCAGCAGCACGTATCCCGTATAAGGGACTTCCGCTGCTACCATCGGCCTGAGCAAAGGCCCCATTGGCGTTCGGTCACGCAGTGCCCAACGCTTGAAAACTTTGAACGGCACGTCCCTCCCGATTAGGGTGGACCGCGCAAAGAGCACCTCATTCGGGCGCTCAGACGTGCCATCTGTCCTCCAGACCTTCCGTATTAGGAGCTCGACTGGAGGGTACGATGGGTTCTCCTTTGCGAGAGCACCCGCCCAGGTCGCTACCTCGACACTCGTGCACTTGTGGATCCCGTATAGGGCCTCAAGTAGCGTTGAGATCAGTGTCATTGACATCCAACCTCCCAGAATGTCTGGAACCGTCCCAAACAAGAAGGGGGGCTGCTCACCGGGCTTCACGTTTAACCGCGTTGGGTCAGTGTTGCCCGACAAAACTTCTAGCAGCATTTGCGATTCCCTGGAGCTTCGTCCAATAAACGCCGACACATCCCTAATCTCGGGGAAAAAATGGAAGATGTCATTACCGGCAGGACAGGCGATTCTGCCTGCTATCCCGCTCTGCGCATCAATCATAATCTCCTCACCCTCGTATGTGAGGTTGTATGTGCTCGTGATCGGGCACACACCGGGCTTTGCCGTCAGTGCCTCTTCTAACGATGCACCTGCTGGGAGGACGCCCTGCACATGCGACTTGGTACCTATGGAACCAGTACTCGCTGACATAAGCCGATAATTTTCGGCGCGAAAGTATGGAAAAAGGTTCTTCATCCTCTCAATTTCCTCTTCAGTGGTGCGCCACGCCTTTGCCTCATAGTAAGGCGGCTCCTGCTTTGAGGGCACTAGGTCGCGGTCACCCATTGATGAGAATTTGTCCACATATGGGCCCATCCCATCATCATCTACATGACTCTCGTGATCTTCATCCGAGACGTACTCCTTGGGCGGCTCGCCCAGAGCGTCCAGATCGACCTTACCAAGGTCGACCAGCGCCGGAGAATCCAGGACTCTCTGGATCCTCATGAGCTCATTCCTAAACTGCTCAAAGCCTCCGGCCTTGTCAATCACGGAGGTCGGCATTACGCCCTCCCATGATTCCGGAAACATGCACACGTTCGTAGGGGAAAACTCATCATCGGAAATATCCCGATCACGCTCCCGTACGTCGCTGATTAGCGTCACGTCCAACGAGCCGCCTAGGGCCTCGGGACGCGACGCTTTCGCCGGATGCGGCTTTGCGCTCTTTGACGCTACAGCAGCCTCATTGGCCGCTTTGTCCTTCTTCTCGTCACCCTTACTCCCCTCCTTGTCCACATCCATTTCGGATGGCTGTGCGCTCCCCCCTGCTCTGCCCATTGGCGGTTCAGAGGGTTGAACAGGGGATTCCTTTGTACGGGCTTTGCCGTAATAATGCCCTGGGATCTGCACGCTCCCAGTGGAGCCACCGCCAGCCTCTCGCGGACGCTTGGCGGTGTGCGCCGACCCAGTATGGACAGCAGGCGCCGATCGCCTAGGAAGGCCCTTACTGGCCGACAGAGATGGAGGAGGTGGCTTCATTTTGGGAGCCGGCTCCGCCTTGGGCTCCGACTCCGGTTCAATTACGCAGGACTTGAGGTCGAAACTTTCAGACCTCAAAAGGCCCGCGCAATAGGAACGGAAAACGTCCTCAACTTCCCGAGCAAGGAAC